GACATCACGTCGTCTAAAGCCTGCTGGGTGTGCTCCAGTGCACTTTGGAGGTGGTTGATTCCGGCTGCGGCGATCATACCGTCCAATCGCTCTCCCTGTGCTGCAATGGCTGCGAATGCGTTGTTGACTTCGGTGTTATTGCGTACGTCAATGCGGATGTACTCCAGGTTGCTCCCATAGTCTTCCTCGGCCTTCTTCTTAGCAACGAGGAAGTCTGGATGCGGGGTTTCGAGGCGGTCCAGACAATACACTAGTTACATGATATTGCGTTAGCATTGGTTCATTTCGAGAAAGGGGAAATAAGGGTGTAAGTACCTTTTGCTCCGGCTTCTATCAATGCTTCCGCCATTGATAGTCCCAGTCCTCGTCCACCGCCGGTGATAGCGTATACTCGGCCCTCCAGATCAAATTCGCCGAAACGGTGGTTGTTGCGCAAAAGCTCTTTCGCCGGCATTTTTGATTGGATATGGTCCGGACTGTGAGGTACATTGTGGATAGCCTGAGTGCTGAATGAGCTATTGGGAGTCGAGTACAAGCGGGTTGGCGAGGAAAAGAGAGAACGAGGAGTAGTGACGGCAAGTCCGGCTAGCCGTGTACGAACGGGAAGCGATACTCGGGAGATAAGAGACATAGGGAAGGAAAGGATGGAGGATATATAGAATGAGATATCTGGGAGGAGGGGATAGTATTAATGTTGACAGCTGTGACCAAAGAACTCACGATATTGCATCCACGGCATCGGGAGATTTATATGTCTAGAGAGCTAGGACGGTACTTCCTTGGAGAGCCTACCGAGAATAAGAGGATCCTGCATAAATATTGACAGAAAAAATCAACACCAGCTACGCGTGACCCGGTGGATAACTGCTTTCACCATGACTCGAATGGACCCAGGCACATTGATCGACCGAGAACATCCACGGTAAGGCCCAACTCCTAAGCTCTGATTAGCTATAGAGATGGGGATGCCAGAGAAAGAGGGTCACCCCCTCATTACTTAGGTATATCGTGACCTTGGGCCGCAGAGGGTAAGACTTCGATGAGAGCTTCGATGGAATGGCTTACCTGGCGCGAGTATGCACGATTGTCTATCACAATTGATGGCCTGTGAGCATGATTGGCTTAGAATCTGGTTCTATTTCCCATGCCGATCCCCGATCTTGTCCCGGGTCGAGAGTGGCTGGATACTATTTAGGGGAAATATCAGAAGATCCCGTGAAGCTCAATCTCCCCGTGCAGTTGCGGAATGCCGGCCTCCCCCAATAAGACACTCGGCCTTTACGGATAGCTGGCAGCATAGTGTATTTTCTATTTTCTTGTTTGACATTACTCGATAAAGATTTCGAGACACCCAGAGGCTCCGAGTTTCCACAGAAGAATTGTGTGCAGTGTCCAGTGATAAGTCAGGATGAGAACTCGTCTTCTCCTTTCTCGGCGTCCCGGGCCCCTTGGGATCCCCAGACCCTCCGAGTTCCACCTTAAATCCACCCGAACCCCATGGGCGCGCAGATTGTCCAGTCCTAAGCTCGCATTTTTATTTTATTTTATTTTTAGGATGCGGAAAATGGACCACATGAGCTTAACAAAATCTCATACATTCAAGCCCGGGATTTCCTAATCCGGTAACCCTTTCTCACATCTTACACCGACTCCCATGCCCAAGGGACACTTGTACAACAGCTCCATAGAATGTTTCGCCTTGAGTAAGGTCTTTGGGTCTTGCTTTTGCACTTACTATGATAAGTAGCAAAGGATTTGAACGCATTATTTCCATCAAGCTTTCTCTATCGCCGGGAACTAAAGGCATTAGAAGGCACGTGCCACTGGGGAAACGATATGCATATTGAGTCTGCTCATTGTAGCTTAAAGAATCTGGACCTGCCGTTAAGACCCTCTTCGTCACTCATGTGCCCATTCCGCATGCCCTGGATTGTACACGTGTCTGCAATTCCGTTCCTACTACGGAGTAGGCAGGGGCTATCAAAGGATCGAAGGTGATCTCGAACGCCCTGTTGGATGGCGTGCGTACTAAATTCAGGTCACCTGTTTCTTATGGATTACTTAGTACAGAGTACAGATAAGGGATAACTATGTGGTATTTCCGTTAATAAAGAAATAAGCAACGTTATCTGTGGGAACACGGTGTACGCTTCCTCCCGCGGCTGATTTTTAAATGAATAGGCCGGCGGATACACGACCCCATCTCGCAGCAATGGATGAACTGAATTCGATTTCATAGGAAATATCTTTTGCGAAGACCGCCACAAGCAAATATTGCGAGAAAATGAAAGGAAAAATAGACGATCCACGCAATATCCAGACTCCTGTCAACCATCCCAATAATCCGATGCCTCTACCTAGGTAGGATAAAACGCCAATTCCTCACTGGGAGGGTGCTCGTAAAAGAAGCACAATAAAAACAAAAGACCCATTAGGGTTCATGGGCCGCTTCAGTCATTATGGCATACCCGCGAAACCCGCAGTCGTCTCGGATTCGAAGCCGCTGCGAAGGCTGCCGAAATCTAGTTTCATGAGCAGACGATCTACCCCCGGTGCTTTATGGGGAATGTAATGGCTGAAACCGGGGCTCGCGCTGTCATCTTGGCGGGAACCAGGCCACATCTGTCCGAAGTTCGTTGCTAATTCAACAGGTCCCTGACCTTCTCCCGAGCGACTATCGTCAATGTCTCGGAGGCTCCCAATGAGATTCTTAATACCCGTCTCAACATCGTTTCGAGTGGCGCGTAACTCTTCCCATACCTCGCGCTCTTCGTGCGCATAATCTACCAAAGCGTCTTCCACGCCTTCATCTGTTTCTAGATCCATATTGCGTTGAATGGTTTCCAACCGAATCACAAGAGCGACAAAGTGGTCGATATGTGTGAGAAGTCCTCTCATGGTGTTCGTAAAGGATAGTTCAGTCAAAAAGAGACTGTGAACTAGAGATGACAAGTGCCGCCGGTGGGCGACCGTGAGAGCCTCGGGGTCGTGTCGCCCCATGGTCTGCTGGCCAGACTCGGGGAAGTCTCTGGTAGGCATATGGTCGGGAGACACTGTCTTGGAGCTGTGAGGCGATTTAGAAGAGGATGATGTTCCAGGTCGGGATCCAGAGGCTGACGCTGTGGACGAAGAGCATCCTTCAATCCATTGGCGAAGGTGCTGCCAGGACTCATTGACGACGTCTCCCTGGAAAAAGCCACCAATCTCGGAAAGCATGAACAGGCATGCACTTCCTGTGGCCCAGATATGACGCATTTGGCGAACACGAACATTATCTCTATCTCTTCTTGCCTTCAGTTTAGCGTGGCCAAAGGTGCTGTTGCTTCTGGGTGGTCCCCATGGTGTAGGGTGGTTTCGCCGCAATGGAGTTCGTTTCCAGAGATCTCCAAGTCGGATCTGAGCCCGCCGTATTCCGAGGAGATAAGAATGGATCTTAGAATATATGACAATATCAGAGCTCGAGATAAATAGGTCCAGAGGAGCTCGGATATGTGCGGTGAGGTTTGTGGGAGTGGGGAAGAGCAAGTCTTCAAATGAGACCTTGGAAATTTTGGATATGAAATTGGGAGTTTGGGCAGGGGTCATCGGTCGGCCACTTTTGCGGCTACTGATGGACAGACAAAGAAGGTCATGGGCAAGCTCAAGTTCTTCGTCGGCTGGGTCCTCCTCCTTTTGTAGCGAGAAAAGCTCTGCCCATGCTTCAACTAGAGCAGCTGTCACATCACCTTCTTTGATGGTAAGAACGCCAGGTTTTCCTAGTGGGCGGGTCGCTGATGGGCCTCGGTGTCGGCTTTCCTCAATGCGTGAATCTGCATGTGCCACAAGAGCCAATGCAAACTCCCCTCGCCCTAGTAAAAGGAAATTATGAAGCAAAGTAAGGATTTCCAAGATTTTCGGGAGAGGCAGCAATTTTGACAAGGTTGACTGAGAAAGAGAAAGTCGAATGGAGTCAACGGCGGTGGTTAGTTTTGAAGGCGAAATTGGTGATTTCAGGCCCGCAAGTTGCTCGATGTGCTCCCGGTATAACGTCACTGGTGCAGTAGAGGTTCCTGCTATTGAAGTTTTCCGTTTCGCCCGAATATGATTTAGGGACTTGCCAATAAATAGTATTGAGCCTGCTGTTTGCGCCGTGACGAAATTTGGGAGAAATCGGACGTTTATGCTGAATTGCGCCTCGTCATTCTCCTTTTCGGTATCCTCCTGGATAAAAAAGTCTTCCTTCCCGTAGATAGGAAGATTCCCATAAAGTAACCACATCGAAAGCTGCTTCATCCATGCCGTCTCAGCCACTGTGGACAATTGCAGGGCCATCTCCTTGATATCAAGATATCCTGTTTGAGCTTCGGTCCGCAGGTGATCCATGAGCGCTGCCCCCGTGGAATTATGCAAAAGTTGGTTGGTTTTCGTTTCGGGTTGAATGAACCGGATGACAGCCCAAAGCCACTCCATGCGGCGCGTCCATGGTGCAAACTCTCCCACGATAGTCGACAATGGGACGATACCATACCCTCCGACGTATTCACTATTCTCAGCAAGGATTGCCCTCTCAACCTCGAGGATCTTCTTCTGGAATTCACCTAGATGTGTTCCAACAATAGCCGTAGAGACCGAGCGGCATATGACAGATGGGCTCGCAGAGGATATATCGGAGGCATATTTCCGCAGCTGCGCGTGGAGTCGGCTCAGATGGGCAACGGAGGTGAGGAGGGCTTTCTCCGGAGGTGAAAGAAGGGGAAAATCATCTTGAGTGACAGCATTTTCCCCCTTTCGGGTACTGAGGAGGGGGATGGCTGGCCGGAGAGGGAGAGTAGGATCTCATGGAGCATTCTGACGAGAGTTCCCTATCGGATATCAATCACAAGCTCATCATGAGCGTATATGCAGAAAACTCACCGAGAGAGATGTCTTCTCTTCTTGCGCTGCCAGTATAATAGACCGCGCCCCACGAATTCAAAGCGACACATGAATTGGAGCGTTTGACGGCGCCAAGCTTCGGGTCGATGCCGAGACGCGTCAAACGTGGCGGATGGAATAGCAGGCTTCAAAACCAATCGGAGAAGAGAGGGGTGGTTGTCATTCTTCAGAGTCAAACCCCAATCCTATCTAGATGTATGACAGCTTCCAGCTCTCAACAAGACACTCTGTAACTCGAGAGCAATAGCTCCCACTGGTTTGTTGAAGTATTGCGGGGCTGAAGGCCAATCGCACTCTCACCGCCCATTAGTCATCTCTTAGTTGTCGGGCCACCCCTCTTACGTCGGTGTCCCTCCTCTCTCGATCTCTCTCCTACTTTGTACTGACTTGTCCTTTACTGATTCGCACCTCCTACCTCACACAGCGTTACATTTTTACTTCTCTTCTATAACCCTCTATCATCCTCTATCATCCGTCGATTGCGTTCGGATCGCTACCCTTCTCCGTGCTCGTTGAGCTAGGTTACCTGGTACGCTGGGCGTTGCAACTTGATTTATCATCACCATTGAAAGACTTGCTCTATCGCAAGGCTTTCACCTCCTGACTTTCATCATTCCTTCAAATATTCCTGTTCGAGACGCGGCTAAGCCCGGAAAGCGCAGAGCCTCTGAAGACGACGTCGGAGCTCGGCCAGAGAAAAGAACAATGACGGTATGGTTAGTCTTGGTCTTAGAGATAAGATTGCCACTAATACATTTCATCACAAAGGACGTCAAGATGCAGGTCGATAACCCCCAAGAGACCATCGAAGCGTTCAAGCATGGGGATATCGACGAATCGTTGTATAGTCGACAGCTGTAAGCCCCCCCCCGCATCCCTACATAACATTCAAATCCCGAGTATGTACTGACACCTTAGAGATACGTTCTTGGTCACGAGGCCATGAAACGCATGGGCTCTTCCAATGTTCTGATCGTAGGTCTCAAGGGCCTGGGCGTTGAAATCGGTATGTGATTCAAGTATTAATCAAGCTTCGCATTCATCCAAACGTCTGATTATCTCCATAGCCAAGAACATCGCCCTCGCTGGTGTCAAATCCCTCACCCTATACGACCCAGCACCAGTTGGTATCTCGGATCTTTCTTCGCAGTTTTTCCTTCAGCCAGAGGACGTCGGCAAGCCCCGTGCTGAAGTTACCGCCCCAAGAGTCGCCGAGTTGAACTCCTACGTTCCCGTTACAGTCCATGGAGGCGAGAGCCTCGCGGGCGATCTCGAGCAACTAAAGCGCTACCAGGCAGTGGTGCTCACACAGACACCTTTGAAGGAGCAACTGGTGATCGCTGACTTCTGCCACAAGAACAAAATCTACCTCACAATTACGGATACCTTCGGTCTCTTTGGTTATATCTTCAATGACTTTGGAAAGAATTTCACCGTGGGTGATCCCAACGGTGAAGAGCCTGCTGGTGGAATTGTGGCAGATATCGACGAGGAAGGACTGGTTTCGGCGCTCGATGAGACAAGGCATGGACTCGAGGATGGTGACTTTGTCACTTTCACTGAAGTCAAGGGTATGGATAGCCTAAACAACAGTGATCCTCGCAAAGTCACTGTGAAAGGTCCCTATACTTTCACTATTGGCGACGTCTCTGGTCTAGGATCCTACCAGGGCGGTGGTCTATTCACTCAGGTTAAGATGCCCAAATTCATCGATTTCCAGTCACTGGAGGATCAACTTAAAAAGCCCGAGCTTCTCACGTCCGACTTTGCCAAGTTTGACCGACCACAACAATTGCACATTGGTATCCAGGCTCTTCATAAGTTTGCGGATACTCACGATGGCCAATTGCCTCGTCCCCACAATGATAGCGACGCCCAGGAGGTCCTAAAGATCGCTAACGATCTCGCTGCGGCTGGTGAGGAAAAAGTCGAACTGGATGAGAAGATAATCAAGGAGCTGAGCTACCAGGCCCGCGGTGATCTGAACCCGTTAGCAGCTTTCTTCGGTGGTATTGCCGCCCAGGAAGTTCTGAAGGCTGTCTCCGGAAAGTTCAGCCCTGTGCATCAGTGGCTGTACTTTGACTCTTTGGAGTCTTTGCCTTCATCGGTCACTCGATCTGAAGAGAGCTGCAAGCCTCTTGGCACCCGCTACGATGGTCAAATTGCGGTATTTGGAAAGGAATACCAAGACAAACTTGCCAATGTCACCCAATTTTTGGTCGGTTCCGGTGCTATCGGTTGTGAGACCCTGAAGAACTGGGCCATGATGGGTCTAGGTACGGGGCCCAAAGGAAAGCTTTACGTCACCGATATGGACCAGATTGAGAAGAGCAATCTTAACCGCCAATTCCTCTTCCGTCCCAAGGATGTTGGCAGACTCAAGAGTGAATGCGCGTCTGCGGCCGCTCAAGCAATGAACCCAGAATTGAAAGATAAGATTGTGACTCTTCGTGATCGCGTCGGTGCCGACACTGAACACATCTTTAACGAGGAATTCTGGAACGGCCTTGATGGTGTGACAAACGCTTTGGACAATGTCGACGCACGGACATATGTTGATCGCCGATGTGTCTTCTTCCGCAAGCCATTGCTGGAGAGTGGTACCCTGGGCACCAAGTGTAACACTCAGGTTGTCCTTCCTTTCATCACGGAGTCCTACTCCAGCTCTCAGGACCCTCCGGAGAAGTCATTCCCTATGTGTACTCTGAAGAGTTTCCCGAACCGCATCGAACACACCATCGCCTGGGCACGGGATGTCTTCCAAACCTACTTCGTTGGCCCACCTGAATCAGTCAACATGTACCTCTCGCAATCCGACTACATTCAGCAGACCCTCAAGCAGGCGGGTAATGAGAAGCAAACCTTGGAGCACCTGCGCGACTTCTTGGTCACCGAAAAACCTTTAACATTCGATGACTGTATCGTGTGGGCTCGCCAACAATTTGAAGCGCAATACAACAACGCGATCCAGCAGCTTCTCTACAACTTCCCCCGAGACTCCACGACATCATCGGGTCAATTATTCTGGTCTGGGCCCAAGCGTGCTCCTACACCCTTGAAGTTCGATAGCACCAATCCTACTCATATCGGATTTGTCGCTGCTGGTGCCAACCTCCATGCGTTCAACTACGGTATCAAGAATCCAGGTGCGGACAAGGACTATTACCGCAGGGTAGTTGATGACATGATCGTTCCCGAGTTCACCCCAAGCTCGAATGTCAAGATTCAGGCCAATGACAACGACCCTGATCCGAATGCCCAGCCAGCTGGTTCGTCTACTGATGAGGAGGAAATTCAGAAACTGGTGGCATCTCTTCCCTCGCCCAAGTCTCTTGCTGGTTTCCGCTTGCAACCGGTTGAGTTTGAGAAGGATGATGACACCAACCACCACATCGACTTCATCACCGCGGCTAGCAACCTCCGTGCAGACAACTACGAGATTCCCCAGGCCGACCGACACAAGACTAAATTTATCGCCGGCAAGATCATCCCGGCGATTGCCACCACTACTGCCCTGGCCACCGGTCTTGTTGCCCTCGAACTGTACAAAATTGTTGACGGCAAGGACGACATCGAGCAATACAAGAACGGCTTCGTTAATTTGGCCCTTCCCCTATTTAGCTTCAGTGAACCAATCGGCAGCGAAAAGGGCACGTATCAAGGCAAGCAAGGCGAGGTCACAATTGACAAGCTCTGGGACCGATTCGAGGTGGAAGATATTCCCCTCCAGGAGTTCATCGATTTCTTCGCCGAGAAGGGCTTGGACATTACCATGGTCAGCTCTGGAGTCAGCTTGTTGTATGCAAGCTTCTATCCCCCATCGAAGGTCAAGGATCGCCTTCCTCTACCGTGAGTATCCCTTCTATAGCTCCCATGCGTGAGTCAAATTACTAACATTGTACCTTCCAGTATGAGCAAGCTTGTGGAACACGTCAGCAAGAAGCCAGTTCCCGAACACCAGAAGAATATCATCTTCGAGGTGACTGCCGAAGATCAGACAGAAGAGGATGTTGAGGTTCCTTACGTGATGGTCAAGCTCACAAAATGAGGCAATTAGAATCCACGGAAAGCCGGTTGGCTACATATTGCTAGTACAGTAACTAGATTTTATGATTATTCCACTCTCCACAGACTCTCCATAACTACAGATATGTTGTAGATTACCAATATAAGCCATCTGTGTACAAATTAGTACTAACAATTCAATATCAAGTCAATATCAAATCATGGACTTTGCCAAGACCATCCAGATTGCTTTGTCAAAGCTGATCGATCTTCCGATAAGCAAAATCTGACTCAGCATTTGGTCATGCGTGAGAACGTCATGACCCCCGCAAAAACGACATTTTTGTCTTTCCTATATATACCTACGTACATACTAGGTACAAGTGGAAATTCGTCTTTCTCTGCCATTTATGTTCTTTACTTTGTTAGGATCTCAGCCATTGAAGCATCTCTCACGACCAATTCTTCGCACAGGGCCTCTTCGTGCAGCTTACCAGAGCTTTGTGTTCCCCGCAGTACCAATCATCTACTCCCGCAATATGGCTGTAAGAATTACCAAACAAGTCAGCTACAATAGCACCAATATTTATGCTAACTTATAATTCAAGACTGGAAATTCCATGTCAATCACTGATTGGGTGAAACCCGGCGACAAGTCGGGCGAGTTCAAACGTCAGCAATCTGTCTTCCGGAACTGGATCTCTAGAGAGGCTGGCGCCCAATTCCCTCCAGAGAAGGGCCGGTACCATCTTTATGTCTCTTACGCCTGTCCTTGGGGTATGGAAGAGCTTCCAATTGACTTGAAACTCGAGCATTGACTAATTATCTACTAGCTCACCGGACTTTGATTACCCGGAAGCTTAAGGGCCTCGAGGACTTTATCTCTTTCTCTTCAGTGCATTGGCATCTTGGAGCTGACGGTCAGACCTATCTCACAAGTTGTGGTGAAATTTCATGGTTCTGACTCATCTCTTAGGTTGGCGATTTGCTACTCCCGATGAAAAACTGCCAGGGGAGAACACCATCCCCGATCCTCTACACCCGGAATTCACCCATATCCGACAGGTCTACTTCTCCAATGACCCAGAATATACGGGCCGGTTCACCGTCCCAGTTCTCTTCGACAAGAAGACCAAGCTGATCGTAAGCAACGAGGTACGAAACAATCTTTTCAAAAGAAATCATTCCCAATTCCAAATACTTACAAAACCAGAGCTCCGAAATCATCCGCATGCTGTACCATGAATTCGACGATATCCTCCCCGAGCAATACAAGAAAATCGATCTCTTCCCCAAGGCTCTACAAGCCGAGATCGACGCCTCCAACGAATGGATCTACAACGACATCAATAACGGCGTATACAAATCCGGTTTCGCAACCACGCAAGAAGCCTACGAGAAAGCCGTGACAACGCTCTTCTCCTCGCTCGACAAGGTCGAAGCCCACCTGGTCAAGCAGCAAGCAGCCTCGAAGCCGTATTTCTTCGGCGACGAGATCACCGAGGCTGATATCAGACTCTACACCACCATCGTTCGGTTTGACCCGGTCTACGTGCAGCATTTCAAGTGCAATCTGCGTGATATCCGCTCTGGATTCCCGGCTATTCACCGTTGGGTGCGCAGGCTGTATTGGGATGCCCCTGCTTTCCGGGATACCACTGACTTTGAGCACATCAAGTTCCATTACACTAAAAGTCACACGCAGATTAATCAGTTTGCTATTACTCCTCTGGGACCTGTGCCGGATATCCTTCCTCGGGATGAGGAGGTTCGGGCTGTGCAGGCGGCCAAATAAGGGGTTGGTCCATGAAGGAAGTTTAGTAATTATGTCTCTTCTGCAACTCGCAAACTGGATAATTTAAGAGCAATCAGAATGGTAGTCAAGAAATCTTTCATATGTATTATGCAAACGTGTAGATTTTCTTGTAATAAACAAAATGGAAATCAAAAGTCCCGTGGTATTGTATTGACGCCTTGCCATGCTGATGTGGTTGATGGTGAGTTTCCCAGTGCCCTGTATCAAAGGTTGGTCAGAAGTACAGTTGTCTCAAGCGAGCGCAACATAAGCAATAGAAAGCAAATTAAAGTTACAGTGAAGCCTTGTTGATATCAAACAAAGGTGAATGCAAAAGAAAGGTGATCTCTCATGATATGGCAAAGAGATCAAAAATGAGAATGGGATCTATTTGAGATGTACCCATGAACGATGGGGTGTGCCATGTCTGTCAATGGCTTTTGTGGGTATCTTGGGGGCAACGCTTCCAACTTTCAAGCCAGTAAATAGCAAAAGTCGATCCGAAGGCACTGGAATGAATGTGCCATGGCGAATGTCAAGCATGCACGCAAATGGCTGAATGGTGTCCGCGCGGGAGTGCACGGTGGAAGAGGAAATGAGGGTTCGGACTGGCAGATCATCGTAGGCCAAGCATGCGTTTCGCGTTCTCATAGACCACGTAGCTGATTGACATGGCCGGTGCCACTTTGAGAAGGTTGGGAGTGAGACCTTTGTAAAGACCCCGGGGTCCCTCAGTTTTGAGCGTGATTTTTAGGACCTCGCCAATCCCTGTGTACGTGGGCGGATGCATTATTGTGCCCTGGGTTTGAAGTCGAGTGCGGAGAACATTGAGGGGGTAGACAATCGAGGCGCTAAATCCTCCACTCATGGCACCGATCGCACCTGTCGCGAAGTTTCCGAGGGGTACATCATCCTCATGACAGCCGCAGTCACGGGCCTTTTTAGCTAGAAGTGTCCGTTTGAGATATTCAAATGTCGATAAATCAATTGCGGCGTATGGAAACATCCCAACAAGGCCAAGCGGAAGCCCTCGGAAGAAGCCAACCAAGCCATTCTTGTTCCACACCTTTCTTGCGGTGGCTGCGATGAGTTGATTGCCTTTCGGGCCACCTTTGACGGTCTCACACTGCATGCGACTGGATAATTGTAAGCCACAATGCTCTAACAAATCACCTGGGCCGATGTACTCACAATTTTAGGGTATCGAGGGGATAGACAAAACATCTAGTCACAATCAGAACCAACTCTCCTCTCATCAATGACGCGCAAGACCTACTGGGCAACCATTCCACCAAAACCACCCGACATAAACTGTGAAGTGGGAAGGAGTCGCTTGGGATCATTATGTCCTTCGAGTTGTGCAAATGCTCGTTTCGCAGACTGTTCTCGGGTCAGCATTCGTCTAATGGTATAGACGAAACCCAATACTGAGAGTACAAACCTCGTAGGCACCAAACTTGATCGCAGACTCTGGCATAACCTTCACCACGTTCAAGCCATTCCCTATTTATAATTAGTCGTTGCCGCTTTGAGTCCAGATCGACAAATGCGACGAACCTGCGAACAAACTCCGTATTCCTCCAGCCCGCCATAATTCCTTGAGCGCGTCGACCAATGTTCTGGAAGCATTCCCAGCCGCAGCTAACGGGGCTCCCTCCTTTGCCGCCTGAACCGTTGATTTGACGCCAGTCTGTGCAATGAGATAAACTTTGAGACGATCGAGGGGGCGGTGGCCGTCCTTGATACGGCACCCGCAATTCCACCTGCAAGGAAGTAGCCTAGTTGGGGGGTATTTTCGGTCAACTTCCGTCCATAATATCGGCAAAACATCCGCATGGCGGTAGTCTGGGGAAGAGCCAACCACTCTAACTCCAAGTCGCCGTCTAGCGAGGCAAGATCATCCTCGAAAACGGGTCCCAACTTCGAGATATGGCTGGTTTGCGCGTGCGCGGAGGGAAGAAGGGAGGCCAAGGCGGGGAGTGACAAAATGTTGTACAAAAGGTGTTGGATGGCTAGAATGTAAGGTGAAAGAAACGGATGGTCTGTACCTAAACCCTGCAGGTCATTGATATTGACATCTCCTTCCGGGTTTAGATTGCCCGTGGCCGTGTAATATGAAAGGACTGCGTGTAGATCGGTCGGGGACTGGAGAGGGAGGAATAGAAGGAAGTCCCTAAAAAAAAGAAAAGATTGGATGTTAGCCTAGGCCGTTCAGCCTTTAATTTGACCATTGAGGATGCATATACCTCCACTCTGTATAAGAAATCACCCCGTCATTGTTCTTGTCGACTTCCGCGAAAAACCGGTCCAACTTAGCGCTCGAAACCGTGACCCCGGAACGTGAAAAGGCATTTCGCAATTCCATCTTGTCGATTTCTCCGTTGTGATCTCGATCGATGCTCTGGAACATCTGCCATAGCCCGTCCTCGGTGTGATTGAGAAATGCTCGGAATTCTGGTGGTGATTAGGATTGGACCAAATATTGGCCAGGGAACCCCTTCCCCGAATGGTGCCGAGGTGGTGTTCGTGAGCTTACCAGCTTTGTCGATACGTCCATCGCCATTCGTGTCAACCTCCCGCACGACACTCAGTACCATGTCGTCTGCATTTTTTAGAGCTAAATGGGAACAGATTAGACAAACAGATATATAACAAAGAACCTGGTCAAACTCACGATGATCGATTTTCTTCAACCCTTTCTTTAACCCCGTCAAGTCGATATGGCCCTCTTTTCGAGTATCTAAGGTTTCCCAGAGTTTGTCGACTCGTTTGTCGCGTTCATCTTTTGACTCTCCGGATGCCATGATGAAAATTGTTACCGAGCAACCATTATTTTCTTTTTGGATGGTTTGTTATAAGGGGACATTCAAAGACCCCTTAGAAGTTGGAGGGGGAAGAAGATCGAGGGGAACAGCTGAGCATAAAAGAGGATGACGTGAGGTAAAAGTTATGAATATGAATGGCTCCCTCTGCGGTGTCTCTCTGATTAATCGGCGCCCGGCGATTTGACCTTCCCAAGGGCTTTGACGCCATCGGATTATCTTTGCACGGGACCAGGGCCAAGCCCTACTATCCCTTTTTGGGATTACAGCCTGACTTCATATATTAGATGAGTTGGTTTCTAATATAACTATTTAATTGTTTGACTGTGGAATTGTTTCTTCTTTTTTTTTTTTTTCTTGTGTTGGTTCTGTATCATCTCATTTCATTTTAATACGTGATCTGCGGAGTCAGCGGTATAGCCCACCCCCGGACTACGGACCATGTCGTGACAGCTTTCGATTTATGAGCTTTGCATCATCATATACTTTCAATATGGCAGCCAACTACTGGGTATCAACCCAACGTCGACACTGGCTATTCTCCAGAGAGAAATTAGCAGATATCCGTGAAGGATTACGGGAGAAGGATAAAGTGGCCCATTCGCAGTTCCCGTTGCCAGATCAGCGATTACTGAATATCTATTTTAACCAGCGTAGGTTTTGTTGATATATTCATTCTTTTGAATGTAACTTCAGGCTAATTGAAACCACAAGAGCTTATCAAGCTCGGCAAACGCATGTCCACCAGACAGCAAGCCATTGCAACAGCACAGGTGTATCTCAAGAGGTTCTATACCAAGAATGAGATTCGACAGACAAGTCCATACCTTGTACTCACCACAGCCTTCTATCTCGCTTGTAAGATGGAAGAGTGTCCACAGCATATCCGCTTTGTGGTCGGCGAAGCGCGCGGTCTATGGCCAGGTATGCATCCATACATATATAAAGTCATAAAACAAAACCAAATGCTAACTATTTCACAGAATTTATTACCCCGGACGTGGCCAAGCTCGGAGAATGCGAGTTTGCTTTAATATCCGAATTGAGCTCGCAACTCATCGTGCATCACCCTTATCGGACTTTGTCCGAACTTCAAACCGAACTATCACTCACCTCGGATGAAGTTGCTCTCGCCTGGTCGGTGATCAACGATCATTATCTGACTGATCTACCACTTTTACACCCGCCTCATGTCATCGCGATCATGGCGATCATCGTCGCCGTGGTATTCAAACCTACCCATCCATCCACCTACCACGGAACTGGCCAATCGGCGTTGGCAGGCTCCATGAGAGATGGAGGTGGTATGCAGATGCTGGCCGCTTTATCAGATAAATCAGGATCCGGTCCTCCTCCTAAAATCCAGAAGCTTGTCGGCTGGCTTGCCGAAAGCGAGGTGGATATCAAAGCTGTCATCGAATGTACGCAAGAGCTGGTCTCCTTGTACGAGGTGTGGGAGCAATATAGCGAGAAGAACTGCAAGGAGTTGCTTGGGAGGATGGTTAAGAGCAAGAACCTGGACAAGTGATGCCGTCCCACATCTTGTACTTTAATACAACCCCTACAAAGTATATATACTTGTACCTCATTATCCCAGATTGGTATCTGATCCACGTATGTCTGATCTAGTTTTGACGGGTTTTTCTACCCCTTTTGTGGACACTTTTTCTACGTACTTTGAGGGTCAACGAACACCTGAAATTATATTTCGTGGCGATTGGGGAAAGAAATAAACTAGTGTACGGTATAGAGTGGATAGCATGGCTACTATACTCGAGATTGGGTTTAAGATTTTCTATGTACATATGTAGACAAAGGAAGCGGTTATTCGGTGATAGAGAAAAGTTGAACTCCCAGGATAAGAATATGTATGAGACACCCTGAAGCGCTGTGTTCTAAACAACACAAGCACTTTCCAACCTTAGATGACTACGGAGTTGCCTATTCTAACTACACATAATGTAAAAATTACTCAATTTAATAAGAACTAGTTAAAACAAACTAGAACTTGTTTAAAAGATGTCAAGAATCTCCAGGGCTAGACTTATCTGTTTGTCATGCTGTCATGCTGTACAACAAAGAGCCTCGACTCCGCAAATCGCCCATTTCAATATCGCCCAGAGTCTGAAACCCTCCTTCCGACTCGGAGCACGGAAACATTTGCCACGATGTAATATAGATATCACATATTTTCAATTTAACCAGGGCCAGAATAGTTGAAGAACCGTGTTGGTAAATCCCTTGCGCGGTGCATGTTGTATCTGGGGATCGGATCGCAGGATAATAGTCCCTCACTGAATTACATATTTCATGCATTGGGACCCCGCGATCTCACGCAGATATCAAATCACCAAATCATGCACTCTGCATAGACGCTGGATAGATCAACTACATAATTCAAGCTTCGGGGGTCAACGTTTACGGGGTACGATATGTGATATATCCGATCTCGGCAGGTGCGTGCGACTGCGCCTCGTGAGATTGTCCCCAAATATCCAAAGGGGCGGTGAAGCCGAAAAAAAAATTGGAGAGACAGCTTTCAGTGCTACGGTTTGGTTCTAGTAGAGTTTTTGGGCGTAATCCTTTTCGGTGCCGTGTAATAGAATGGAAGTTATCACTGGTGGAAGATGGAAGGTCAAGACATCATACAACAGGGTTATGTTCCAGTAGGCGCCGACAGAGCATTTCCAGGTCCAGTGCATATCCCAATCAGACTAAAAATAAAAATAAATTGAAATACAACAATCGAGCCCAGATCTAAAATATGCAATATACTATACCACATGTTGAATAGTGGGAACTTACCGTTGATTTTTGATTCGGTATGAGATATGTAGTGAGTCACGGGTAGGCAATGCTACCCAGCGAAAAAAGTAGCCCCTGCCCTAGTCCGGATTCCGCATGGATGGAAATTCCGATTTGGAAGAGTGTGAGCTGATAAGGGAGGATCTCAAAGTCCTACCAATAATAGGCGGGGTTCATCTGCAGCTAGAGCTGTGGGTTGTGTCTCAAGACCAACAAGGTTTTCATTTTCGGGTCTTTGCGCTGCGTGTCGAAGGATTAGGGAATTCGTTTACGGGGGAGCCGATCAAAGTAAGATCAGCCGCCACTGCCGATTTATGTTGTAGGCATCCTATAGGGGGGGAAGGGAAAATAGAGGGGGAATGTACCTGGGAAAAAGCCATGCCCTGCACAGCCTGCAGCTAAAGGGGGGACCCCCGAAGGGCTGAGAAAAATTTCAGCTTTTCCCAACGATGGATTTACTTTTCCGGGTACGGAGTAGTTTAGCTTAGGATTGTAATAATTGACGATTTCGGCAATTATCGGATCTAGATAATATATAAAGAGTAACGGAGTAAATATGCGACAATCATCATTGTATAAGGGCAATAGGCAATACCACATACCTAATTAAAGTAAGTAAAGTTCTCCAGCCCTTCCAAGGTTGGTATGTAGGCAGTGTCATCACTAAGAGATCTTCCCAATCGGGGAACGTTCCAATTATCGTCGACGTCACGTTTTTCATTTTTTCATTTTTTTTTTCATTTTTTCCAGTTGTTTTGGTGGGCCGTTAAATGTCCCATTTGTCCCATTTAAGAGGATTGGAGAAAGATCTACGAGTTATCATTGGTTTTGAGGCTATTGCCACTCCGTTAGCGCTTAGGTCTGGTTGGTGCGTCGATGTAAGTGTCTTTTTATACCAAACAATACAATACAGTAAAGATCCACATTTAACACTCAATTAACTCCCTTCATTGGTAATAAATGGTAATAAATGGTAATAACAGTAACCATACCCATCAGTCCCCATAACACACCCCTCCCCTCTTTTTCCCTTCGCCTCTCTTCCCACACACTCTCATTCTCATTCATCCTTTCCTCTTTCAATCCTCTCGATCTTTCCTATATTTTTCTATTTTCTTTTTTGTAACTTTCTTCTTATATTCACTCATCGTCTCAACTGTCAACTTGTCAACTTGTCAGCCTGTCAGCTTCTTACACAATGTCTGCCTACTTCTACAACCAACACCAGCAACACCAGCAACACCCTCACCATGGTGCTCATATGCAGTCTGCATCAAATACCCACCATGGGCGCTCTCGTCGTGCCCCAAAGATGGCCTCGCAGAATGCTCAGCGTCAGTTCCGAGGAGTCAAGAGTATGCGGGAATTGGCGGAAGCTCCGGCTGTGACAGCCTTCCGTGCAAGATTCGAGGCTGGTCGGTCCTTTGATCTGGATGACGACCTCGAATTCTGCCCGGGTCTCCTGACTGAGGATGATGTATGTTGTGATTCCCGAATCTTCAATCCCCCTTATCCGTCACCCCCTTAGAGATCGTCACAAATCTCAATTCAGATTAAACCATTAGGGGGACCAGTTTGATTGACATTTTTTTATCTATAGCTGCACTCCATCCACTCTGCTTCCGACCGCTCTTCTCTCTCCAGTGGCTCACCGGACACCTCACCTCTGCAGCACCAAATCCAACCGGTGCAGCAGGTGACCCCGTCCATCTCCTTGTCCCCCGCTCAAACCAACTCATACGTTCACCCTGGTGTTGCCGGCAACCCTAATCACGTCAACTATCAGCAACAGCAGCCTGCGAACCGGACCCGCAAGGTCATTCCGATTATCAACCCCTCGACCGGAATGACCCTGTCGAGCCCACCTTCATCGATCTCGCCCGCGATGATGCAGACTGCTCAGCGTCGATGGTAAGGATGCCATCTGCCAAAGTCGTAGGCCGGCACCCTACATCTCCATTCGTCCATTGCACGTCCGTTATTTCAGCTGTTCTGCATCATCGGGGTCCCTTAATCGCAGGTCATAATGTTTTTTTTTTCCTTCCACTTGCATTCTTGTTCGATACGTCTATTACATTCGACACGACACACAACCTGGAAAAATATTTGTTCCACGAACACGGCGACAAAAAAATCTTCAAAAATTCGAAAACAAAAAACCGACCTGTACATACACTCTCCTCTTCGCCGATTACGACCACCTTCGCCTCATATTCTAGATCCTTTGCGATACTCTTAGCTTGTTGCGAGCGACGGCGCCTGCGATTCAATACCTTGCATCCTTTTCCTACGATACCTCTTTCGTCTCTCAGGGAGGGACGAATACTTTCTTCGGCCTATGTTACTTTTTTTTCCCGGTCGGGCTACCGATGATGTACAGAACACACGTGCAGTGACCTTGCTACTTGACATTGCATGTTCATGACCTTTGGAGTTGATTTTACCTTTTTTTTTTTTTCTGGGAGGGTTTTGCGTGCAAACGACTTTGCCAGATACACACCTACGCTGTGGCACTATTTTTTTTATTTTCTTTCTACGATCTCTTTGTTTGGGCTTTTTTTTAACCGGGGCGGGAATGGATATCATTTTCAAGGATCTAGAGGCGGAAACGATACACGTCTGCATTGCTTGGGCACTGTTGAATATCTTGGGTTGTTTTTTATTGCTTTGTTATCTTCTCTCATCTTTTACGGATTGTTTCTCTGTACATGGAATTTGGGGATTGGTGAACAACACTTCCTTGCCACTGGTATGTGGCTGGTTGGGTCTGGTAGCGAAACCATGGGATGCGGAGTTGTTTCTGTTTGAACTCGATATCCTTGGGGGTCTCTCGCGGTGTGCGAGTCTAGACCATTATGCACTTTAAAATGCTTTCATTTTTACTCTCCTTTTCATTTCTTTTGGTCTTGTATTTCTTTTACCCTTTGGGGGAACTCCCGGAGAGTTATAACAGTTATAACCTTGTATGATGTTGATTTACATTGATTCTTGCACACTATCAAGTTCAATCACATCTCTCATTCATATCGTCTTGGGACTTTTAGCGAGATTAGCATGTTGTAGATAGTGTTGAGATTTGCTTTCTTGGCTGCTAGATATATATATGTCTCCAAGCCTTCCGCTCCAAGCCATTCTAATGTCACACGGCTAAGCCGATCACTCATATATTGGGTTGGGGACATTATACCAAGACTAATAGGAGGTTATGATTTCCAATTTATTTTCTTTTCTTCACAGATAGATAAGATTATAAGTAATGCTTGAAAAAATGCTTACGTCCCTTAAAATAGATTAATTACGTAGTATTGCTCAGACTCAACAGTTTGATCGTCCGAAGATCAAGATGGTCAATGTGAGGCAGAGAAGCAAAGCTAAAGCGGATAAAAAAAGCAACCCACACTTAACATGTCACAATGAGCGGTCTCTAACTAGTTATATCTTTATAACCTCTCCAATCTGTTTCAAGTACGTCGTACAGCCTGCATGATTGGGTCCCTACCCGCTAGCCCTTGTTTCAGGACTCAACCAACATCCCGACACTAACAGGCCCTCAGGCCCTCAGGTCTCAGGTGTCAAATCCATGCGCCCAGGGAAATCCCCCACTTATCTAAGACGTTGCGTAGCAGACAAATTAAGGTGTCGCAGGGTACACCCATATATAGAATATCATCGACGTTCTCCATAACTCCATACTCAGTACTATCCTATCATATCCTTTCCCCCGCTACTCCCGAGCCCCTTACCTTGACCTGACACATCCCAGGCTCCACAGAGTATAGTTACGTCGCTCTGGCCTTGGACTAATGGCGTCTATTGTGAAGCATGCCCAGCTCAGGCCAAGGGCTTGCAGTGCAGTACCTGCCTCCGATAGGTGGAGGTGAACTGCCAAGTGACCAAGAAACAATCGCTTGCACTACAATACGTACTGCCTCCGGGTGGTTCTTGCTTTCAGGGCTTTTCCCTCCTATGAAGTTTCACTTTGTCTTGTTTCTGTGTTTCATTTTGTTGATATTGTTCGTCTTCCTGTTCGGGTTACCGGTCTCATTGTTTTCTTCTCTTTTCTTCTGCATTGTTTACATTGTCTTCATTGTCTTCATTGTTTCTTTTTTTTTCCCATTCTTTTTCCTCCTTGGATACAGGTATTCGAGTTTGGACTACTGTCTGTCGACTTTCATTTTGAGACATTGGCATTGTCTTCCCAATCATTCAGAACAAGGCTGTCCTTACAGATCTACGGAGCTGCTGAAAATTTACCTCCTTTTCTTTTCTTGTCTTGTCTTGTCTTGTCTTGTCTTGCATCCGCTCTTGTCCGTTGCACTCGTTAATATCAAATTCTCAGGCCGGCCCTGATCTAATCACTCTTTTTTTCGATTTTGATATCCCCAATTGGGACCTTGCGCAAGATGCAAATCATTCTTTTTCTTGCTATCTTCTTTTCGTTGAGCTTTAATGCTCTTTCCATGCCCGTCGCTCCTCAGAATCACCTTCAAGGCCGGTCCTTCAAGGTAGAGAGAGTCAAGCGCAGTGGCCATGTTGTTGCCCACGGACCTGCGGCACTGCGCAAGGCATACCGCAAGTTCGGAATTGATGCAGCAACCCTCGATGGGGTGGACGCGAGCGACTTCCAGCCTTTCGAAATTAAGTCTACCACCTCTGTGAAAATTGCAAAGGAAGATGTGGTGGACTCTGACCAGACGGGCAGCGTGGATGCCACTTCGGTTGATGGGGACGTGGAATTTGTCTCGCCGGTCAATATTGGCGGACAGACCCTCGATATGAATTTTGACAGTGGCTCTGCTGATATGTAAGGTTTTTTTTCTCTTTTTTTCGATTTTTTCCCTTGGAAGATTGGCTAGTTAGCAATATCTTTCCATGTTCAAGCCTACAAACAGAATATTCCGAACTAACCATTGCCATGAAGGTGGGTGTTGAGCTCGAAACTTCCAAAGTCACTGCGAAACAGCCGAACTGTGTACGAACCCAGCAAATCCAGTACTTTTGAGGAACTCCCCGACAGCACATTCAAGATCCAGTACGGCGACGCGTCCTATGCAAATGGTGGAGTAGGCAAGGATGATGTCTCGATTGGCGGTGTCAAATTTGCTGGGCAACCATTTGGCCTTCCGACGGATATTTCGCAATCATTCGTTGATGACCTCGAGTCTAACGGACTCGTCGGTCTTGGCTTTTCTTCAATCAACACTGTCACCCCAGAGCGACAACATACGTTCTTCGACAACGTTGCCCCCAGCCTCGATGAGCCAGTCTTCACCGTTCGACTACTCAGCAACGGTGTCGGTGAATATGAATTTGGAACCATCGATCCGAAAAAGTACCAAGGCGTCCTGGCCAATGTCAGCGTGGATTCATCCAATGGATTCTGGGAGTTCGACTCGGCACAATACGCCATTGGAGAAGGCTCCATGCACCCGATCACCCAGGCACCCCAGGCCATTGCTGACACTGGCACCTCGCTCATGATGGTGAGCCCCGAGGTTGCGGAAGCTTATTATAAGCAGGTCCATGGCGGATTATACGCTAAGAATGCCAACGGGTATATCTTCCCTTGCAATTCGAGCTTGCCCCCCCTATCTGTTGCGGTTGGGCCTAGTCATTCGGTCACCATCCCTGGGTCGTTTATGAATTGGTCCGAGGTCGGAACCAATACAACTACTGGAGAAACAGGTGAGCTTTTCCCCCTCCCGTTCAAGCTTCTATGCGGTATGAGTTCTGAGCTAACCTTCTTTTTTTTTTGAATAGTGTGCTATGGTGGCCTTCAGTCAAGCGGAAGCTCAGCCATGGCGATCTATGGCGATGTGTTCTTGAAGGCACTGTTTGTGGTCTTTGATCAACGAGGCCCTTCTCTGGGATTCGCGGCGCCTGCCTAAGCAAAAAACATTTCAGATCTATCAGCTCCTCCAAGTTGTGTGACGATGTACAGATTAGAAAAATCAGAGCCATATTTTCACTTCGTGGGTTGGCAGTGATGCAGAGAGGAATAAAATTCCATTAAGATGCAATAATAATACCAACTTGGGAAATTTTGATTTCTTCATATTCTCATGGGTATGCGTTTAGTTTTATTTCCAGATATACCGAACACCTTCACATCCCTTACCGCACAGTAGCATTAGTCAAGCTCTTAACAGTGCAAATACCACCAGAGGCAGCAACCAGCTTTCCAAGAGCAGGCTTGCCCTCCTGTCCGTGGACAGAGGGAACAGCACTGCTATCAAAGGCAACCTCACGATCCGCAGTGGTAGTGAAACCCGGCTGGAAAGTCTCCCAGACCTTCTTCTTAGGGTTAAGCTGCTTCTCAGGCTGGCCATCATTCCAGCCCTCGAAGCTGATCCGCTCACCGGCAGGAGCATCAGCAGGAGGGCTAACAAGCTCGACAGGGCCGGCATGCGAGTCCTCGCCTTCAGCAACACGCGGGGACGCAGCGAGAACCATCGCGCAAGACTTGACGCCGCGCATGGTCACAGGCTTCAAGTTGCACACGGCAACGATCTTGCGGCCCTGCATCTCCTCCAACGGGATGAGTCCGTTCAGTCCGGAGCACACAGTCCGCACGGTCTTGCCGGTCTCCTCATCGAGAGAGGTGTTGTCGCTGCCTGGGGCGTCACCGCAGTCGATCGTGGAGACGAACAGCGAGTCCGCGTTGGGGTGGTTGATCGCGCGCAGGATGTGTCCGACACGCAGGTCAATCAGTGATGGGGCGGGGGGGAGCAGCGGGAGCAGGAGCAGGCTTGGGAGCCTTCTCTTTCTTCTCCTTCTTCTCCTTCTTGTTTGTTTTCACGGGGGCGGCGTCGGCGTCGGCGCCGGCCTGTGTCTGGGCCTTGGCGGCTTGCTCGGCCTTGCCTTGGCCGACGACGAGGGGCTTGGACTCGTTGTTGGCGTCGGGGTTTTGGGCGCTGGCTTTCTCGCGCTTCTTGCGCTCTTTCTCCTCCTTGGGATCGACGGGCTTGGGCACGAACTTGACGTCGTTCAGGTCGATGGCGATCTTCTCCTCCTCGGGGATCTGGAGCGAGAATAGACGGCCGTTCTGTACGAAGTCGATGTGACGCACGATGTGGTGGTAGCCCTTTTCTCCGGTGCGCTCTTCAGGGGTCCATTTCTCAATGACGGGGCCCAGGATGGCGTAGATGGCAATGTCGGCGACCGAGGGCTTCGCGCCGAGGAGGGTGGTGCGGGTGGCGAGGTGGATGTTCAGCTGGAGGAGGATTCCGGTGGTGACGTCCTTTTGGTCATTGGCGAGAGAGGTCTTCAGGCCGGAGACGGTGTTGAGCCATTGCTTGATGTCGGCTTCCTCTGCTTCATTGAAGGTGACTTGAGGAAAGATCTTGGCCGAGGCGTGGAGGTAGTCGGGCTCGGTCGAATCGGAAGAGATTACGGCGGGATACGACCGGTAGAGAAGGGAGAGGAGAGAGGTCTCGGGTGCTGCTGCCGTCGCCATGGTGTATGTTCGTGGAGGGGTTGGGAGTGGAAGAAAAGAAAATCGAGGAGGGGCACGGATCTGTGTCGACGATTGGACCCGCGGGGCTGTCAGTCGGACCCGCAATAGAGTCGACCTGAGAGAATTCACCTTGACGATGATCCCCTTTATATAGGGATCTAGTGAGAATTAACTGCTTTAGTTATTTATTATTCACAGTCAGAGCACTCTCTCATCTTTGCATTGGTGTTTTTCAAGGTGGCCTGTGTCTGCTGACTCAGCACCTTCCTGGCAGCACCACACGAGTAGAAGTACTTTGTGCTCATACCTCAAGCATATTACTAGAGGGTTTGATCTTGGTGTCTCATTGTCGGTGTTTAAACCAACATGAATTTCCTATATACTACTATCTCTCACCGTCGGAAGACCACAACATCAAAATTAAGTTCCAAAGAGAAAGACAAGCTTGTTGAACTGGACTATCCTTAACAGCGGATAGATGAGATCTATTCGTACCCACCTTCAGCACTTCCAAGGTTACTCCTGTGCTATATAACTTTGGCTTATATTGAACAGAGACCGGCCAGCTTAGTGAAGTGAAGACATTGTTGTACGGCAGTTTCAATGTCCACATCCGCTATCAGATCCTCTTCTGTTTTTCTTGTTTCGCTACGTCCGATCAACCACTATATATGAGAAAACTCGGGAGTAAGGAAGCAAAGGAGCAAAGGAGCAATTGACCTTCAATTCATAACGAGCGAGTCTTCCATTTGACACGTATACCTGCTTCCAACATATGCTGCCGCGCTGTTTTACCTTGGCTCATTCCAATATCCGGGTTTGCACCAGCTCTAGCAAGCATCTTAATGACTTCCTTGTTGCCTATATCGATCGCTTTCAACAGAGCGGTTTGCCCTGTGCTAGTTTGCTTGTTGACGTCGAGTCGCTTCGATTCTAGCAAATGTTCCACTGTCTGTTGGTGATTAAGGCGAACAGCAAGCAATAACGGAAAATCATCCGTCGGACAAAGATTTGGATCAAGCCTATCCTGCGCTAGGAGGAGACGAGTCATATCATACTGGTTGATGGCGACGCATATCCAAAATGGCGTTCGCCCCTGACTGTCTTGAGAATTGATATCGACCTTGTCTGGCATACGCACAACTTTCTTGACAAAATCCAGAGCGGTCGGTATATCGTGTGTGCAATTGACAGCAGCGCTCAAGGCCGCCCAACCAGAATTGTCGCGCTCATCAACCTTGACTCTTGGGTCTGCAAGAAGAATATCACACAGAATGTCCCGATGACTTGACTTGGACAAGCTTCTTCGTTCGAATAACATGTGCAAGGGGGTGCGACCAAGCGCATCTTTTGCATTAATGTCTGCGCCCGCTTCAAGCAATGCCTGCACGATTTTGGGTTGATCATACTGGCATGCTACATGAAGCACCGGAGCCATTCCCGGTTGTTGTGGGAACTTTCCGGATGCCATGGACACCACAGAATTTGGGTCAGCTCCGCGAGCAAGTAGTAGCTTGACATGCCGATATGCTGCTCTTTCTTGTCTTTCCTGTGCAACATCCTGCCCCCACCTCCGGTAGGTATTTGCCAGTGATCTGATTATAACGCATATCCAATCAGAGCCGTCTATAAAACGAAAGTTAGGGTCAGCCCCCATTTCATACAGTTTTCGATGGATCTCCAGTCATAACTGTTATGACAGTCATAACCTTTCCAAATCGCACTTTGTATGTGATGTAGGATTTGTTGGATAAGTGCGCCTAATGCGCATTCGAGCAAGCCGCCTTTAGAAACTAAGAACTGTATCCATTTGACATTTCTGCCGTTCACCATGTAATACAATGGGGTTGCATTCCATGGCACTGTTCCCGGAACATCGGAGAGTGCTTCGATTGCCTTTATGAATGATTCTTTCTTATTCCCTCGCAGGCTTCGTTCAAACGCACGCTGGTTTTGCATACCTCGCCAGCGAAGCCGTCCGCTCAAGACGTGATAGAGATCACGATTTGCTTGGCAAGTATTGTAAAGCTCATTGTCTGATAGCTCACGCTCAATAAGCCAGATCAGCTCGACGGGTAGGTTAAGGATTGATTTCACCCTAAGTTGTGATCTCCAACTTCGCTCCAGTAACGGCGAGGCTAAATCAACCGTTTTTTGAATCGCTCTTTTCACTCGGTGCTTCTTGTGTGTCCATATCATAGGATAACGGACATGGCTACTGTCCAGTCGAGTGGCTGATTTTCTGGGAGTAAACCTCGTGTCATATTTCTGCGCAATAAATGTAATCAGAACTCTTTGCTCGGGATGCAAAAGACCAGCCCACGATTTCTCTGTTTGAAAGAAGGCTTTGAGAAGGTGGGCCAAACGAATGGCTTCTTTTGGCAGTTTTGGAAGAGTCGCCATATTTGATGTTGTCATGTTGCCAGATACTATTTCTGCGTGGATGTCGTAAAGACGGCCGGGGCAAGGGAGAGACTGTGGTCGTAATGATGCTGTAATAAAGAGAACACCAAAGCCCTATGATTAATTGGTACATACGTAGTTCGTATACTTGTTTCTCCTTTCTAGCTGTCTTTTTAGATGTCTTCTAGATATATTGCCCTCTTCGCAAGGATTATAGGTAGACAGGCTTAAATGACATTTCTGTGTAAAACCTTTGAATTGTGAAAGATTAAATTAAGCCCCAATATAGCAATAAAAAGTGGTACAAATTTGGCTAATATCATCCACTGTATCTTTTTCTTTTTCTACTTGAGCGTGAGCCCATTAGCTCCTCAATATCGATGCCCGCCTTGGAGATGGTTTCTCGTGCAGTCAGACCCGTGCTATCTCGAATGTCCAGCTCAGCACCAGCTTCGATAAGCAGCTTGATTATATCCTTTGATGCTGGCAACGTCAAAGCGAGACGCCCATCGCTGTCTTTGCAGTTCGGGTCGGTTGCCTTTCTTCTTAGCAAACTCCGCACTACCGTTGTTATTCCATTCGAAACGGCGAAAAACAAGGGCAAGTAATTAGTATTGAGATTTGGGTCGATGTCACTTCCTGACAGCAACAGCTCGGCAGCTTTTATGTTTCTGCTCTCCAGTGAACGATATAATACCGTCTTCCCATCATTGTCATAGGAGTTGATATCAACATTGGGCATTCGGAGCATTCTTTCCACAAACCAAACCGAGACGGCACTGTCAGAGCCAGCAGCAATGCTCAAGGGCGTACGGCCATCTTCATCACGTAGGTCAACTTCAATACCTGGGGCTTGAAGAAGGGCCTGGATTGTGTCTCTGCAGGCAACGGGGCAGCAATAACAATTATTTGGACTAACTGCCAAGTGAAGAGGCGTTTTCCCCTGGGGGCCAATTGCGTTTGGATTGGCGCCATAATTGATCAATTCTCTCACCATCTGTAACCTTCCCGTGAATCTGCACATGGAGAGTGCAAAATGAAGTGCCGATCTTTTGTCGGACATGTGGGTATTTGGATCAGCCCCGTATTTGAGAAAAAGGCGAACATTGTTGACATTTTCTGTTTTCGTATGATAACATTCCCCATATTCTAGATAGTCAGCACAGAGATCACCGGAACCACAGATAGCAACGAGCAGCATTGGAATATGCCCAAATCCCAAATCGTCGAAGTAGGGGTCATCGCTGAGAACATTCGGATCAGCCCCTAGTTTGAGGACCTCTTCAACTGATAGAGGGGTGCGGATTGCTGGCCGGTTTATTTTATGCGACAACGTGTCCATGATGAATTGACGATACAATTGCCCAATAAAACCGTCTTTCAAAGCCATACCATCCAGCATATGGATATTTTCGGTGTCTATCAGAGGAAACAATTTCCACGTGGAATCATTACCCATACTTTCAGGAATCTTCGAGAGTTCTTGGACTGCCTTTTTGTAGACTGTCAGCTGAGAGTGGCGCAAACTCCATTCCAGTGCCTCGAGCGTCCTGTCCAGTGTCCAGAGCTTAAAGCTTATGACGTTGAGGAGACGGCGATTCAATTGAGAGAGTCTAGCGAGAGACTTTTTCGGTAACCGAGCCGCAATGAGCAGCAACAACTCGTTAGGCAGATCAAGTATTGATGTTGTGAACAGTTGTCTCTTCCAATCCTGAAAAGCATCTGTCATCAAGAAGATCGCCTTGGCGTCTTTGAGAAAGACCTTCGCTGCCCTTTCCGCTCGTCCTTTACGGGTCAACCATGTCTTTGGGAAAGGGAATTGGGTCGGGGAAATGTCTTGAGGAATGGAAATAGACATGCCAGAGCTGCTACTAGTTGTGATTGCCTGTCCTGGTTCCGAGTAACTCATGACGATGAAATAAATCAGCTCCAACTCATCGGGCCGGATATTGAGGGGCCACCGAGAGTCTGCATGGAGGCATCCAAAAACTCTGCATGCCGCTTCTATTACCTCAATTGTCTTGGGCTCCGATGGAGCGGGATTGGACAACGACATACTTGTGAAAACCGTGTTTAAAAAAGGTATTTATTGTTGACAGATATCACAACCATTTATATACTTGGAGGCTGTAGAGCTGATCATCATGCCATAACCCATCTTTACTTTAGTATGATGATACGCGGTATGGATAGCCATTACCATTATGGACTACCATAGACACTCTGAAGTCTGAACTTATATGGGAAGTTTGTTGGCACCTTCCCCCCTACATGGTTAGTCCAGTTTTGTAATGATCACCAAATCTTAATGGTACCTGTTCGGTAAATGATTGGATCTTCCAAGATTCTTAACTGTCCATATATATTGTAGTGCCAGCGTGTTTACTCGGGATCCTTTTTATGCATACAATATAAACTCAATCCGTGTCTAAATATAAACCTTCATTACTAATCAGTATTATGAAACTTTGGAAGGTCTACCCGTGGACGGATTATGCACACGGCAACCTTGGAACTCCAGAGCTTATCCTAAATGGTAATAGCCTATGTTGGTTATCCCCTGTGATTGGTCAATTGAATAACGCTAAAATGAGTCATAATGAGTCGTGGAGGATCAGCATATAAACAACCAATCACAGGATGCTGACAGTGGACCCATGTGGTACCACAGTTCATCCCTTGGTCTTCCCATTCTTTTATATGGCCTGGCCTTGTCCTCCAATTTCTTCCTCAGGACACGACTCCTACAGAGTCGACCCCTAGTTATATACAGTTACCCTAGGGTCCCCCTTCATTATCTTGATATAAAGCGTCACGGGTCTGCAAAGGCCCGTCTAAGAAATCCAGCGATGTCCGCCTGCAGTTGTTCGAGCGCAGCGGCAGCGATCCAGATCTCCACTTACTGGTTCCAACCCGCCCAGCACCGGCACGCAGGAACGCCTTCAAGGGCCTGCTGAATATTCGCCATGGGCGAGTCTTCATACGTACACCGATAACGACCTCTTCTCATCACTGGCGCCGCCGTTGGAAGGCTTTTCCTCGGCTGTGCCAGTCTGTCAATCCTTTGATACCCTCCCGCACGAGCCGGCACTCTGGGCAGAACCCGATCTGTCCTTTGCCGATACCGACTGGAATTTCGTATCTGTTGATCATTCGACGCCATATCCTCCTGGCTATGACGGTGGCGATGTCCCGGTCATGGACCTTGGGTATGGGTCTGTCTCTGCTTTAAACTCCCTTTCCGATTCCGGATCAATCGAGCACCAACACTATGTGTCTGCATCCCTTGCTACTAGCTCCGCCAATTCGCAAGGTATGTTCATATTCTTCAACCAAGTCAAGAAGCGGTCCTGTTTCTAACTTTTGAAAGATGGCTACTCGCATCCTTCCCCTATCTCTCCATTCCCTGCCCCCGTCGCTACTTCTCTATCCAGTCCTTCTATCTCCCAAGGCGACGATACGCTAAACCGCGTTGATTCATCACGGGTGGAAAAGCGCAAACTCAACACCCTCGCGGCGCGGAGATGCCGCCAAAGACGTATGGATCGGATGAAGGAACTTGAAGCCGAGTTGGAGAAGGTCCGGAAGGAAAGAGATGATTGGAGACTTCGGTGTTCGAAGCTTGAAGGCGAAACGGATGCTTTGAAGGGTCTTCTCACTCGCAGGAGCAATGATACATAGTGTGGTACTCGAGAATTGGAGCTGGTCTCTGAAGTGACGAATTCAATTGGTTTTTGATCCGTGTCCACTTGGTTCTGTTTGTTAGTTGGCCTACAGGGACCCGTTATAAGCGCCATTCGTATTGTTTAGTGGGGGTATGCCCAGCGTTAAGTTATCCCTCTACGTTGGGCATCCCCGCAGCATGCACATCCATGGATGCCCAGAAAATATGTGATGGGCAGGGGGCTTTTCCATCGGTCTTCTTCCCGCCTGAGCTGAGCGACACCGGGTGACTATTTTCGCGGAGTTGTACCGACCTCAGGAGAGGGGTTGTCCCTGGTCCAAATAAACAAGGTAGTTATATCGAACCGATAGTATCGCTCGCATATATTGAATTAGAATCTTTCTTCATACTTGTGTAACAATTTAATCTCTCTCTCTTTATTCTCATCAGCAGACTCCATTCTTCAGTCCGTTCTACAACACTCCAACAGACCTACCGTTAACCCGAAATCCGTCCATCATGAGAGCAGTACGCTTCCATGGACGACGTGATATCCGCATTGATGAGGTGGAAGAGCCAGTTTGTGGTAATGGCCAGGTCAAGGCAAGCTTAGAATTGCTGCTTATAGCATTCGTAATGCTACCTCCGAGGCTGAGTCTCTAACGACAAACCTGCATATTTATAGATTCGACCTGCCTTTGTCGGAATATGTGGCAGCGGTAAATTACAAACTCGAAATCCATCGTTGGCTAGTCATTTCTAATCCAACCCAGATATCCATGAGTATCTTGCTGGCCCAACGATCGTCCCTGTCACTCCACACCCAATAACCGAGGGGAAGCTGCCGACCACTTTGGGTCATGAGTTCAGTGGTACAGTTGAAGAGGTCGGATCAGGCGTTACAGGGTTCAAGGTCGGGGATCGGGTTGTAGTCAAGCCCAACCTCTTCGACGCCACGTGTTCGAACTGTTTGATGGGCAGGTTCAATTGCTGCGAGAATGTGGGATTCATCGGGTTCAGCAGTAAGTCATACTAAGGTCTGCAGTCATGTCCCGATATTGACGGCTATAAGGTCAGGCGGGTGGTTTATCGGACCACGTAGTCGTGGACAGCAGATATGCGATCTCGCTACCCGATTCCATTCCCCTCGACGTCGGTGGTAAGAATAAAACCTCTCCGTTTTGGGTTGTGTTTGATTTGTTTCAGCTCTGACAACCTGATGATACAGCACTGGTGGAACCCCTTGCCGTCGCATGGCACGCTGTAAGCGGCAGTCCTCTGCAGACAAATGACACGGTACTTGTGGTCGGGGCTGGACCAATTGGTTTGGCTATTATCCAGGTGTTGAAAGCCAAATGTGTTAGCTCGATTATTGCTGTGGAGGTCTCTGAGCGGCGACGAGAATTTGCCCTGACCCTGGGCGCCACTGAGGTCCTCAATCCTTTTGATGTAGATGCGGTTATGCAGATACGTGCTTTGACAGGGAATGTGGGTGCAGATGTTGCATTCGAGTGCTCTGGGGCTCAAGCTGGCCTCGATACTGCGATATCTGGTCTTCGGGTGCGTGGGACGACGGTCGTCGTTTCCTTATGGGAACACAAACCTACTATTGATGCTTTTGCTGTTGTCTTCCAGGAGAAGCGGGTGGCAGGTGCTGCTCTTTCTGATGATGTTGACTTCGAGGCTGTGATTGATGCAATTGCTTCCGGTATGCTCGGCTTCTACCCAATTTCTGCCTTCACTTCTTATTTAGGTATGTGTCCTTTGCTGACCTCTTGCTTCGTTGGTATAGGCAGTATTCAGCCTCACCCAATGATCACTAGTAAGATCCGAATGGAGGATGTGGATGAGGGGGGTTTAAAGCTCTCATCGAACAGAGAGATACGCATGTAAAGATCCTAGTCGATATTTCTGCATGAAGCACGCACAGGGTTAGCTCATGTGTGTCTGCAGTATATTTCAATTTTTGGTTTTGATCATCGTAATAGAATGAGTAACTGTCATTTCAGGCGATTCACCTTGTCTGGGTAGTACCATGCTTCTGTCATCCACTGTTAGTATCATCAATAAACATGCTCTGACAAAGAGCCTTTCTATTTTTGTAAGGAGTGGCTACACATGACAGAGGACCCTGATGGTCTAAATACAACATGAGCTGACCTAAGCACTCAGGTCGCTTAAAATGGCAGTCCAATTTCATATCTGTTGTACTAATATAGCATCTCGCTGTTATACTTAATCTTATAAACAACAATCACAACAGCATATGGTATGACCGCACTATATTAATCTGTGTGAAGGGTGGCGCTATTTCTTTGTCTTTTAGAATTTAGTTTTTGTCTGAAACTGCCATTGTTTGGACTCTTTTTCTTCTTTTTCTTCTTTCCTTTTTTGTTTCATTTCTATGTTTCACGAAACGTTGAGATCACTTTCGATCAGCTCTGACGGAGTTATTATGAATTCTGGTTACTTTTCCCTCAATACGAACAACGTGGGGTGATCCCAGGGCTACCCTTGGCTGACTCGGGGAAATATGCCCAGGCATTGCTGGCAGTGGGGAAAGAGAAGTGTTTTACTTGACGCCTCCCGGCTAAAGACCTGGGCAATGTAGTAGTATAACTAGTTACCTCTATTCGAGACATTGCCTAGATCTTTAGTCCTGCTCAAGTTCCCAATGCCCACTAAGTATCCCCACTGTTTTATCGCTTCTAATTTTACGGCATTTGCTGCAAGGGAACTCCGTAAAGAAAAGTTAGTCGCCACACATCAGACAGAAAGATCATAGGGGGGCTTTGACCATTCGTTATTTGACACTAAGGCAGCATGTCAGTGTTCACATCTGATTCATCTAATATTGTCATTTTCTGGGAGAAAAACACGCCTCTGCCGTGAGCTGAGACATGGCACCGCCCATGTCTAATATAATTCATTGGTCTATTCTACTGCATTGGATCCATAGGGATGGCCCGGATGGGGGGAGAATTAGATCCCACCGTTTAGGTACAACATATATAACACCTTTTTTCACTGCGCTACGCTTTGACAACTCTCTTTTTTTTTTAGTTCCAATTCCCTTTGTCACTTAATATTCCATTGCTCTTCTCTCTCATTCCTATATTTGGAATCGAATACCCAGTGCAAGTGCTCTTTTGACCACCTTATTTTTTTCTACTGTGGAACCCTGCCTACATTACTCTGTATATCCTCAGGGATTCTTGCCTAACAAAAGTTATCATGGGTACACCACTTACAGAAACGGTTATTATTACCGGGGGAAATGGGTTGTTGGGCTCAGAGATCACTATCGAGATCGCGAAGAAGCAACCTTTCGTCCATCTGTTATTAACGGCAAGGGATATAAGGACCGATGATGTCCGCGAACTGATGGGGAAGATCCGCTTGATCGGCCCCAGATCGATCGAAGTTCTTGCTCTTGATCTGACCGATTTGAAATCCGTCGCATCTTTCGCTAAAGCCACCGTCAATCGTGTTCGCCTCAGAGACATTCCTCCTGTGACCAGTCTAATTCACTCCGCTGTTGCTACATCTTACGTTATTGATGATCTCACATCAGATGGCTACGACCCTGTGTATCAGACAAATTGTTTATCTCCATTTTTATTGACCATCGGCTTGCTCGAGGCTTTCCGGGCTGGAGATGGTACACCAAAAGGCGGAGCTAAGGTGATCAACATCGGTTGTTCGGCGATATCTTCCGGGAAATTGGATTATTTTGATTGCGACCATGGAAGAAATGGAAGGCGACCGGGAACTGCGCTGAACGCAAAGGAAGAGAACATTCGTCTTGGAAGCAGCAAGTTAATGGCGAGCATTGCATTATATGCATTGAGGCGGAGCTTGATCTGGGTAAGTTAACAATTCGGAGTCATTTCCCGATTGATTTATTGATTTTTCCGATTTCCTAATATAAAATCCAATGATAGACCGGTAATATCTCGCTCGATATCTTCACCTTGGACCCAGGAGGCATGACTGGCCAGAGTACTCTGCGGACGGGGGCCCCTATGTCGGTCAGAGTCGCACACCAGACTCGGTCCGGGCTTCGGCCATTCCTGCGCATGGTATCCCGAACCTCCATGAATAAGGCCAGTGTTCCAGCCAAGGCCATTGCCAGAGTCGCATTCCACATCGACGGGGTGGAGAATTGGCAAAAGGAACGCTACTTTATTCTCGACAGCGATTACGAGGCCGCATCCGTCTTGCCGAGCTTGCGAGATGGGGAAAAAGTGAACAAACTATTAATTCAGATGATGCAAATGATTGAAGTGGAAACAAAGGAGATGGATTCGCCCGCTCCTCTTCAACCTTGTTTGAACATGATCTCGCCTCCTACACTTACACTATGAAGGGATAAATCATAAAATTATATGGACATTTTAGCATTGGGGGAGTACACTTTTCAGACATAAAATTAGCGAAGCCAATTGACAAAAATCAAAGCATTTGATCTGTTATGTATTTTAATGTTGAATTATGTTTATAAAGTACTTAATTAACTATGTTCCTATCCTATCCATCTCATCTACCAGCGGTTACTGCAAGCGGATGACCGGATTTGGTGGCCACAACAGACCAAGACCTTGGATCACCAATCTTTCAAGGTTCTTTCGTTTCTTTCGCTTTGCTTCTTTTTCTTTTTATAAGACTTTCAATCCTTCTAGTCTTCTACATCTAACTTTCTCGAAATTGGGGTTGTCACTAGGGGTCTCCGGCCGCTACATCTGTCCTTGGCTCCCGACATAAGCGCCTCAACGGCCGCGCCCGCAGTGATGAACCGACACGTCCTCGAAAAGGGCCACTCGGCTTATCCTAGAGGTTCTGCATTTTCAATTTCACCGAACAGGTAAGCTAAATCACCCACCTGAGCAGTTCGAGATAAGCTCGCTTCTCATTGTCCGAGCTCGGAGCCCCGTCGTCATACCAGATCATGAAGCTTGAAATCGAGACTGACTAGGATGCCCTCGCCCCCAGGTTCCAGCCTCGCTCGCAACCCGCACTTCGGAGACGCCGGCAGCTCTTCCAACGCCTCTGCCTCCTTGGCGGTGTGTCGCTAGTACTATTCCTCTTGATCTTCCCGTCCTGGCGCGCCGCCATCCTCCCCACCATCTCGCTCGGCCTTCTCTCTTACCCCGGAGATCTACACCTACAGACGGTCCGATATTATGATTTATCTGAAGTACAGGGGACTGAGAAGGGCTGGGAACGCGGAGAGCGTGTCCTGATGTGCACCCCGCTCCGTGATGCCTCGTCGCACCTCCCGATGTTTTTCTCGCACCTCCGAAACCTCACATACCCGCACCACCTAATTGATCTGGCATTTCTGGTATCGGACTCTCGGGATGACACTCTAGGCATGCTATCGCGCATGTTGGAGGATACACAAAATGACCCGGACCCGAAAATGCCCTATGGGGAGATTTCCGTGATCAAGAAGGACTTCGGACAGAAAGTCCAACAGGATGTGGAAAGTCGACATGGATTTGAGGCGCAGGCGAACCGACGTAAGCTGATGGCGCAGGCCAGGAATTGGTTGCTGAGCGCAACGCTTCGTCCAACCCACAGCTGGGTCTACTGGAGAGATGCGGACGTGGAGACGGCTCCGTTCACCATCATTGAGGATCTAATGCGGCACAACAAGGATGTTACAGTCCCGAGTGAGTGGTGTGACTATTGCTTGAGTATCTGCATCCATACTAACTGCCCTGGTCTGTAGATGTCTGGCGCCCGCTTCCAGATTGGCTTGGCGGAGAACAGCCTTACGATCTAAACTCCTGGCAAGAATCCGAGACTGCATTGGCACTTGCGGATACCTTGGATGAGGATGCTGTCATCGTGGAAGGATATGCCGAGTACGCTACGTGGAGGCCTCACCTAGCCTACCTCCGCGATCCCTACGGCGATCCAGATATGGAGATGGAGTTGGACGGGATCGGAGGTGTCAGTATTCTGGCCAAAGCCCGGGTATTCCGTGCTGGTGTACACTTCCCAGCCTTCAGTTTCGAGAAACATGCCGAGACGGAAGGGTTTGGCAAGGTAAGATAGTAATCAACGAGGCGATGGTTACAATTGCTAATGTTTCTTAGATGGCTAAACGGATGAAATTCTCGGTGATTGGACTACCACACTACACCATTTGGCATCTATACGAGCCCAGTGTCGATGACCTTCGGCATATGGAAGAAATGGAGGTGGAGCGATTGGCTCGCGAAAAAGAAGAACAAGAGCGAGCGGAGCAAAAGGACAGCACTCAGTCCAAGCCCATCAGTACCGATCAAACTGTGGATGGTGAAGAAAAGCAAGGCTCCGCTGAAGGCCCGGCTGGGCAGCCCATGAAAGACACTGTGGATTCTACTCAGGGCCACTTGAGAGCCCAAGATGAGACAGTCGACCAAGCCGAGAAAGCTGAAATAGCCAAAAAAGCTAAGCTATGATCCTTGACTGGCTTTCCCTCTCTCGGCTTCTTTGATCCAGCCGGCTGGATCACGCATTGTATTCGGGATATTGTATTCTCACATGAAGTTGAATGTCTCATCTCCCTATCCGGAAAGGACTATTTGTTTAGACTAGGACATATTTATGTCCAAACTCCGCGAGTGTAGGAGCTTTGCTTTTCATGCTTGCTCCGTTCTTGCATATGTTTTTTTTTATATTTTGGGGGTTATTTCTCTTTTTTATGGAGTTACAGCGAAGTATAACGGTTGGCGTGTCATGGAGAACAATAATCTGGCCATTCAAAAGCAAAAACATCGACGATTTTAATTCAATGTATTCTGCTCAAGAGTACTCCGTACAGAGTAAACACATAAGTTTTAAATTGGCCCAATAATGTAATTGTAACATAAAGACTCTCTATGTTGTATGTTGTAGGGATACGATGTACATCGGATGAAGCCGAACACCCGTGGACCTCTTAGGCGGTGGTCCGTGTATCTCCACTTCGCGTCAACGCGTCCAAAGTCGATGCTTCATTTCGCCAATTCTCACTTTGTTTCGATTGACATACGGAGTAACCTATCCACGTTATAACCCGCAATGTCTACTCAAGACTCGCGCAGTATCCTTTTCACACATACTCGCCCCCAGGAAGGGTTCCGACTACTGGAACTTACCCCAGAGCTGGAAGAATTACTGACTTCGAAAGATGCACCTGTGTAAGTCGACGCAATGAGCAAAGATCCAAGCAGACCAGGAGCAACCCACATGCTCCTAAGTCCATTCCCATCCCTAATTAGCGGCCCCCAACTAACTCGCGACACCCGCCAGACTCGAACTCAAATCACCCTCTACAGCCCTCGCACAAGCAGTAATCGACCCTACCGCCCACGACTACGTCAACCTATGCACACCAACGCAAACTTACCGTATCCGCCAAGTTCAATCCTCAAACTCCCTACATGTTCTCCGGCCAAGCCGCGGCGAAATCTCCCAAGCAGACATCAAAGTCGTTGAAGAAGCCAGCGAAAGCGGCGCATTGAGCCTTCCAGATGAAGCTGTAACGGCCATTTCAAGGTGTTCCTCGACGCTGGAACTGCACATCCCACCGGGAGGGTTCTCAGCCGTCCCATTCCTGGAGAAGAGTCTGCGGCTTTATGACCGGCGCAGTGATGATGACGGGGACATAGCGATGGGTGGTTCTGCTGACTCCACGGCCCCGCTGGGATCCAATGAGATGCGCGCGGCCAGGGAGAATTTGTGTCAGGATATCCCTGTGTCGACGGCGCAGTGCGAGCAGAGTTGGATGGGGCTTTGTGCGTTTGTAGATGGGGCTGAGGAGGTGGCATGTTGGCGGCCCTCGCCGCGGTCTCGTTTGGCTGTTTGGAAGCGGTTGGTCGAGGGTGCTGTTTTGCAGGGTATTGATCTTGAGAAGCAGTTTCTCGTTGGGGACTTGTGGAAGTCTGTTCTGGATGATGATGAAGAGATGGAGCCGCCATTTCCACGTGCATTGCTGGAGGCTGTTGTGAGGCGCATCTGCATTGCGGATGAACGGCCGCCTTTGTCGGATGATATTAAATGTGAGTCAAAAATAACCGGTGGGATTTGGTTGCAGGTATCGAACTTGGCTAATGATCTCGTGCTATTCTCTAGGGGCGAGCTTTAATAAGGTCGAGTGTACACAATGGGTTGGCGAGACATACTTGGCTGCCACTGCTCCAACTACGTCGTCTGCTATTGGAAGAAGTGAATTGCTTCGGGAGTGGAAGGACTGTCTGCCTGAGACATGGAGAGGAGAGGTAGCGCTGTCAAAATTACCGGTAACTCGACCTTTCCCTCCCATGAGCTGCGGCGCAATAGCTGATTTTGACTACAGGATGGCTGCTACAACAGCCCTGACCCTTCGACTATATGCTTTGTTGAACCCTCGCAACGGCAGCCGACCAACAAATCTACCTCTACACCAGCCACGGCCGCGAAGGCTAAGAACACTCGAAATTGGCACGAACTGCTCAAAGGCCGCCGTTGATTGCAAAAAAAAAAAATAAGAAAATAAGAAACGAACGCACTTGCTGCGTAAAATGCTGGCATCTAATCTATGATGCGCGCGTATCTAGAAGCACCACGATCGTGTCTGCCACCCAAACTCGCCTCGATCCCGCACTTCCGGGAAAAGAAAGTGGGAAGAATCACGAGCAAACAAAGAAACAAACCTTGAAATGATGCTCCAACGAATGAATGATTAACACCAAGTGTATTTCTCATTCAACCACCACTCCACATCCTTGCCCAACCCTTGCTGCTCGCCAGTCCACCGTAAACTGGCGATGCTCTCCTTCTCGCGGTGGACAAGCTCAGCCTTCGGGTCCACCAAGGCCACAGCCTTCTCCAAAAGGGGAGTAGGATTCCAAAATTCAACCTTGCTCATGTTCCACTCATGCGCCTCTTGTTGTGCTCGCCGAAGGATGGCAGCCATGGCCTGAATAGTGGCCTGCTCTTCCGCCGGAGATGTGGGTTCATCATACACCCATCGAAGGATGTAGAGGACATTATCCTCGGGTGCCTCGCCGAAGTTCCGGTTCCAAGCACAGTATACGCGAGCCTGGTCATTACCAGCGCCCTTAACTACAGGCGGGGAGCGTTCAGGAATCAAGTTCTCGGCGTAAAACTCCTCTCGAGCCCAATGCCAGACAAAGTGATCAAAGTTAGGCAAAATGGCAATCTTAGCACCACTCGTCTTCTGCGACGCGAGACACATCTGGTCGCGCAGCTTGGCAAGCACGGTCTCACTGCACAAACACTTCTGAACATCCTCAGCAAATAGATCCCTCGTGACAGGCTCCTTCTCCAGCCCACCCGTAGTAGCCGGTAAAGACATATGAGAAGACGAGAACGGCCGCCACCCAAACTGAGCGTAGAACTTCTTCCCGATATCCGAGAAAAGCACTGTAAACAACGACTTCCGCCGTGACTCTTTCTCCATTTCCCACGTCTCGAGTTTAATGCTCAGCTCCTCTAGCATCCGCTTTGCGTACCCTTTCCCGCGGAATTCAGGTCGACAGTAGACACTCCCCACGCCGTGCGTGGAAACCTTCTCCACCTGCCCGTCGTGTGCGAGCAGCGCCGTTTTCCGGTACGACTCGCAGGAGCTGAGGATTGTGCGCTCGTCCTCGGGCTCGTGGCGGTCCACTAGGATCCAGCAGGTTAGACCGTCGCGCGTCAGCCGTTGCTGGAGGAGATGGTTCTCGCGCTCTATGTATGTTTTCACATCTAATGGGCCTTTCCAGGCGACGCTGTTCAGTTTGATTGAGGCAAGGCGCTCTGAAGCTGTAGCTGGGACTAGGATCAGATCTGGGGATTCCCCTGCGGGGAGGGTGGGGATTTCTGCGGCAATCATGTCGAGTTGAATACAGGTGAAGTAGTATGACTGTGTATGACTGTATGAGTTGTTGATTGTTGGAAGTTGGGTATGTCAAAAGGAGGGGGGTATAAATAATAGATAGAAGAGAGGTAAATCCGGGGTTATAAAGTGCCAAAGTGCCAAAGTGCCAAAGTTAAAGATGTTCCGAAGACCAAAAGAATCCACCAGATACCCGTGGACCGACGGGGCCCCGATGCCATAATATACTGGTCATTTCTAGATGTGGTCACACGAACATCCTTGGATAGTATGTTCTTCCGATCTAAGTACAATTGGACCAACCATACTCAATCCATCCTATTGCCCCCTTCACCTTTTCGTGCATTCCGCATCATGATCATGGCCGGATCTGCCTGCCCTATACGGTACAAAGTAAAAAATTATAAAAAAAAGGCAAGACTTTCTCTTTGTCACTGGCCCGAAGCAAAGCGATGGCAAGCGATAGAGGTTACTAGTTAACTGGTTAGTTAGTTAACTAGGCCCTTCCAAGGAAGGTTGACGTAAGAGCCCCGACGTCTTTTGCCTTTCGCGGAGGGTTTCAACTGGTCATGTGAGCCTTGGCGATTATGTCATATTTATATTTATTGACACAAACCTGTCGTGTTGAGTGTTGATCTTCATTTCAAATGTTTTATACTAATGATCTGACGTTGTATAAGTAGATTTTATGCATCATCACTATGTGGGGGGGCTGGGACTGTGACTCAACTCACGCGACCATTTTTATACATTCTACTTTACATTGGTAGATCATTGAACTACATACCAGTAGACTTATATACCAGTTTCCGAACCTACTACCAGTTCTTCTTAGTTCTATCAACATTGAATTTGGACTTCATAAGGACTTGATGTTGAATTTAGTCTATGATATACCTAGGTAGAGAGTTAACTAGTTAGAGAGTCCTCGACCCACGTCTATCTATCAAACATCAACAAATACAACTGGTTAGTTCACGCATCATATCTTAAATTGATATCGGAATTACAATATATAGAGACGCAGTTCGAAAGCTCTATTGAATGGTAACTGCTATATGTCAACTAGTATAAGCATGATTGAATTTCTATTTATGTACCTATTTTCTTTTTCGGTAAACCCCACTAGTTCTTGTGGTATTAATATCGATTTACTCTGTTGTCCAAGTAACATCTCTCTAGAATAATAAATGCAGTCAAATGTCTTTGCTCTGTTCCTCTTGGAATGTTTGCGCAGTCTCGCCTTTAGACCGCAGCTCCCTCTTGGCGTTGACCACATAAGTAGATAATGACTTCTCGGGGAATAGACAATGCATATGAGCATAGCTCCCTATAGCTCATTAACCTAAACTGGATATCTGGCTAGCACACTTACATAGTCACCCCGAGAGGGTCTAGCGGCCTAATTTCATCAGGCAGATCCGGGACATTAAGCAGAGGCGCAACGTAGTCAACGGATTTAAATCAAATGACACGAAGAGAGAAACCCCAAACAGATAAACTTTGTGACACAACAGACATTATGGCATATGGGACCTTCGTTTCGAACGGAATCATTTCCACTGGGTTCATCAGCAGAAGAGCAGATACAGAAAAGCACAGAAAGAGAAGATAACGATGCGACATTGGGAACTAGTTGGTAGTATAGTTGAATTGGCTAGAAATGAGAATCATGTAGTTGATTTCAACAAAGGAGACGAATGAAATACAACGGAAAATGGGAGATGGTATGAGAGAGAAAAAAAAAGGCCGGACCGCAGCAAAAAAGATGAGCGAGGAGACAAAACCCAAGGGATCAGGCAAGAGATGCAAAATGAACTAAATGGAAAAGCTATAAAAAAGCCAGGAAGAAAAATAAGAAATGAAGGATGGGGAAGGAGCGTCATGAAAGTGAGAATGGGAAGAAGAGAAGGCAGAGAAGAATAAGCACTTGGGAATGAAGCACCAGAAAGGAAACATATGAACCTGATCTATGTAAATAAATGCCATGTGAGTCTCAAAAGTCGTCCGCTCCCCGTTTTATGTATTTGCGCCACTTCTTGTGGACGGCAATTCCAGAATTTCCTTCGTCCATCATGTATGTTCGATCATTGGTCACGCTAAATCAAGAATGAGACAGAATTTGGGGGGTGTGGTCAAGGTTGGGGGGGGAAGAGAAGATAAGAGAATGAGAGAGGGGAAAAAAGAAAAAGAAAAAGAAAAAGAAAGAGCATGAATTCCCCCCAAAACCTAAAATAGGATCGGAGAATTTCGAGGTCATGGTGGTTGCTCTGAGTCCACCGGTTCGTTAAATTTCTGTCGTGCCTCTTCTACCCACAACTCCAACCGAAGCTCACCAGCTTCGACACGTCGTACAGGTACTGTTTTGGCACGGCCATTCGAGACCTTAGGTGGCGCTTGCTGGGTTTCGCCGTTCCGTACTTTAGAGACGGAAAATGGTGCAGTGCATGATCGTAGGTGCACTTTGCCCGGTTCCGCCACAATCCAAGTCTGTTCTTCCTTGGTGGTCCCCGCCGGTGGTAAAGCATCTTCCCGCACTTCAATGCAGACGGTGAAACTGAACTCGTCATCGCGGGGAAGCGGGGTCAACCGGGCACAGGCTGAGGCGAGTCTCGCTAGACATGCCCGGAATTGTGCCTCAAGGTCGACCGAGGTTGGTGCGGGGCCCCGGTCTGAGACAGGGGCACCTGTATTAGATGAATTTTCATTTCTGTCTTCAAATGTAGTATTCACCTCTCCCGCAGGGGCACGCGGAAAGCCCGACAGATCAAAGGCATATCGTTCGAGGGGCTGATTTGTGCGAAGAGATGAAATGATGATACTGACTGCGGTGATTGTGCCTTTGAGAATCTCCGTTCCGACTGCGATTGAAGCATCGTTAATGTAGTCACACACTTTCGGGTGACGCGATTGTCGGACGGGGTAGTTGTATGCCCGCACAGGGAGGAAGGTTGCGCGTGGATAGACTGAGCGCAAAAATAGGATTTGATGGACGGAGACGGTGAGGAAATTGGTGAAGGAGGCCGCTAACGCTGACTGGTTTGTGGGCAGCGATTTGGTAGCAGGGACCGGGGCGGAGAAAGTGGTCATGGTGGTGGTGGTGGTACTGCTCTCACTGGCCATCGGCATTGCCGTCTAACGATCCGATGTCGTTTCCGCGGTGAGGGTGGTCTTGACGAAGTCTCGAAGAATCTGAATGATGTTCCACCCTGAAGCTAATCATCGCTCTGCCTTTCTAAGCCATCGGTCAACGTCACGTCCGATAAAGCTTTTAGGTGTTGTTATGTTTTGGAATCGGTCAAAGTTTTTTTTTTTGGGTTCCCCGAACTCCGGCCAGCGACACGGCGAGTCAAGATAATCCGCAGGATAAGACAGCTGGTTATATCAGGGTGAGTAGAGCGACAGAAAGTAGTCACTCGACGCGGCATGGAAGGGAGGTCTGTAAGGGGAAAGAAAGATGGTTGGGTGTATAGTGTGTTGGAGGAGGGGGTTGTTTGTGTTTAAAAGGAAATCCGAAACGTACGCTTGGGTGGACAAAAGAAGCAAACCTCAAAGCATGAGGGATAGAAAAACCATATAATTCCCGAGCGACGATCCCAAGTGGAAGAGAGTGATCACTTTTTTTTAGATTTAAGAACCCTTCGGGAGGGGAATTCGAGGAGGGGTGTTAAAGCGAAGGGAAGGAGGGGAAGTTTTGAGAAACGGTAACCCTCAAGAGGAATGTTTTATAAAGGGGGAAAGGGAGGACTGGGCCCAAGTTGAAAAATAATGAGGAAAAGAAGAGGTTATAGAGATGAATCGATGGATGTACCTCACTCTCGCTCATCGAGGGGAAAAGCAGAAGAAAGGCGGACAAGGCGGACGTAAGTTGGTTGGAAGGGTCACGGTTTATGTCACGTGAGTTCATCATGGGTTTGCATGTCCACTTCGATTTACTTTACTTTTGGCTATTTAAGAATCTATATGACTTTTCAATTGGATTTTTTTTTTTTTTTAACATATACATTATAATTCTATCTTGTTTTGATATCTTGGTCAAAATGTTGTGTGCGTGTGCGCACAGGTATAGTATTTTAGCATAGCTTACGGAGTAGTTACAGAACAGAACATGCGCAAAAAGTGAGGAAGGGGTGGGGGGAATGAAAATGAAAAATACAGTGTATAGTATACAGTATACAGTATACAGTATACAATTTCCAGTATTTATACCATAGTTGTATGGAGAAAAGAAGGGCACACAGTTTTTTGCCTCTCTTTTTCTTTCCCCACTGTGAAGTGGATGGATATTACTCTATCAAAGGGACGATCTTGGCAAGAAAATGGTAAGGGGAAGACAATTAGAAATAGTGCACCTAAATATATTAAAAATCATCTACCATGGAATCGGACTGAAGAACCAACGGGATATAGCCGAGCAGAATTTGGTTTAGAAGTTGTTCCGGTACCTTACCTTAGAAGATTACAGGGTTGTTATATGAACCCATTACATATCACATATAACATATGTAGTAATAATATAGTAGGTAAATTAAAATATGTTGCATGTTTATATATCTACACTTTTTACTTTTTAAATATTCTAGTTACATAGTAATTTATCCTACATCATCACTACAGTTACATAACTATACTACGTATAGGAACTTACCGGGGGTATCAGTGAGGTACCGGGTACACTGTACGGCCTCATACACATATCCACTCTCTCGTAAACCTTGGAAGATGTGTAGTAACTCACCATCTGGCTTTACCCGATGATCTTCCTACACTGACGGTAGTGGCGGTCATAAGACCAGGGTACAATTTCCCGGGAATGTTATTTGTGCTCCATCATTTGTGTATTTCGAAATTTATGCGTATGAGGTATCGTTTTGTACTATATTATCAATCTCTTCCATCTGCTTCTATATTCATGGGTGTACCTCTTTACCGCTTACAGAACTTTAGGAGGGGGTATATATGTACATAAGTATGGCATACTAGATTCTAAGGCTGCATTATTATATGGTACTATAGATATACCCACCCTCCCAAGGTCACTCAATCATTACCTACATTCTATCCATTCCGAATTCTAGTCCCACTGATAATATTGACTGTAACTTCCAAATCATAGTTTCCCCAAATTACATTGAGTTCAGTGGAACTCCCATGTTCTCCGAATTTTCCATGGCCCAATAAGATCGACCCAAAAGATCAGAACTTGGATCTTAACGAAAGCTCGAGCTAGTTCGCCCAGGTATGGCGCAGGTCCTAAAATGGTAAACGGTAGATGGTAAACCCTTACTTCATACGGAGTACCGGATCCTCTCAATGGGCCATCCATGTCCACTGGAGATATCCGCGGAGGTCTGATCTCTGGGGTTCCTGACATTAAACTACATATGTATTCCTGGGGATCGTGTGACCTATCTGGGGATGCTATTGGAAAGTACACTGGGCTTGTATTCTAAATTAAGCGTTAAAAAGTGAATACTCAAAGCTCTCTCACTATCTGATGAGTCCTACATCAAAGTTATACATGGAAGAAGTAGTTTCGCATATCTTAAGCTGTATTTTTACCGCCTATACTTTAGCTACAACGCCAGTAAGGGGGAAATATCTAAGCAAGTGACAACCAAAAAGACGTGAGAAGGTCGGCCGACTATTCTGGTATAATGTAGGTTTCAACCCCTGCCAGCAAGAAAGTAAGGAACCATAAGACCTAGATTTGGAGATTGACCTCTTGTCAATGAATTTCTGTTTTGTTTTTTTTTCCAGCACAATCCATTCCATTTGACCTTTGTCCTTAACATATATTTCTGCTTGGCTGTCAGCGCAGATCAGAGTGATCTCCCGCTTTTAAGACGAATAGGCCATGTCTCATTTTGGAGGCTAAACATTTTCTCGGATTTATTTTTAGTCGGCAATGGAGGTGTCCACTGCCCACCTAATGTACTATGTAGATTGTAGGTACATACAACATAATTAATGCATCCGAGGATCAGTGAGATCAAAGAAAGGAACAATTGTATCTCTATCGAACTACAACGTATTCTGCGAGTTGGGTTTATCCTCACATCGTAGACACACGCGATGTACTCTATACTGCTTAAGCTCTTGAGGCTTGAAGAATTTCATACTATGAATACAAAAATATAATGGTCTACAACACGACTAGTCTTTAATAACCTGATGTATCGGGCTCAAGATGATATTAGCGCGTTTATAAAATAACACTCAATGCTTTTTTTTTGGATTTTCATTTTAAGAGAATTCTTCTTCTCCGTGTTATAGCTAGCAGGATAATAAATAGCAATAACTAGTGCCATATAGGCATACCGGGCTTATCCTCTAACTACGATATACAACATGCAAAACAGATTGACTAAAAACACACTCGAGGATATATAGTAACTATGGTACCCAAGACAATATGCCCGGGCTCTTTGATGACTAGTAGTAATAAATAACACACGGAGTAAACCAAATCCAATTAACTGTGATATACAAATTGTAGCGCCGACCGCCCTCAAACTGCCCCTCCTCCGCGTCTCCTTATCTGTCGACGCGCAAAACATTAGATTCTCAATATTTCGTGACTGAGACCCATTGGCTTCGAGCCCTTCCTTTATCTCTCTTTAATCTCTTGCCTGAAATACTCCCTGAATCCCAAACAGTCTTATTGATAACACTTCGTTCGCCATGGAGCAAGAACTCCTGTCGCTCCTGGCAGATACCCAGTCGCCGAAGACCGATACCAGAAGGGCCGCAGAGTCACAGCTGGGAAATCTTTATGTCCATGATTCCTTCGCGATATCACTCACAGCAATCGCCTCGCACGAGTCAGTTCCGGTCAACCTGCGCCAGTCTGCCCTCTCAGTCTTGCGTACCTTCATTGTCGCCGCCTGGTCTCCAAATCTCGATGAATTTAAAGGACAAATCCTCATCAACGATGCGAACAAAGCCAACGTCCGCCAAGCGCTATTGGCCCTCTCGACGAACGACACCCCCCAGCGCAAGGTGAAGAACTCTGCAAGTTTCGCTGTTAGCAAGATCGCCAGTGCCGACTTCCCGGACGACTGGCCCGAGCTGCTTCCTTCACTGCTCCGTATCATCAATGACCCCGCCAGTACCGATGGTCAGATGCATGGTGCACTGAAGGTTCTCCTAGATCTTGTCGATACAGGGTTCAGTGAGGAGCAGTTTTTCAATGTCGCCCGTGATCTTGTTGCATCCCTTTTCGCTGTGGCTACCTCCGAGTCCAGACGGCCAATGCTGCGCGCTCTGGCTGTCGCAGTCTTCCGTTCCTGCTTTGATACCCTGGAAATGGTTCTAGAACAACACAAAACGGCCATTAAGCAGTTCATGGATGAGGTCCTCAGTGCATGGTCGCCATTCTTTGACACAGCTTTGAAGGCACCCCTGCCGCAGCCACCCAGCGTGGAAGAGGAACATAAACAAGGGGAGATTGCATCACAGTGGAGGGGAGTTGTTGGGTTAAAGTTGCAAGTCGTCAAGGTATGTGGTGTTTGATTTTGGGTTTACCGGGCTTTCGCTGACATGATTTTTTGTTTCATAGACACTCATGAAAATCCGCATGGTGTTCCCTGCTCTTTTGACCGCACAAAGCCCACTTTTCTTCTCAACAGTCTGGGCGGAACTCACCAACGCATTGCCGATCTACCAGAATTTCTACATTGAGGAGGAGAGGCAGAGTCGTTTGGAGGATGGGGACGGACTTCCCCACTCACTTGATTTTCTCGTTTTGGAGGAGCTTGATATTATCCAGGCCCTCTTGAAGGCACCCCCGTAAAGGCAGAGCTGCAGCAGCAACTCCACAATGCTGGTGCGACTGCCAGCACGTCCAGCTGGCTTCCGGAAATTATGAAGCTCGCCAGTTCCTATGCACAGATTACAACAGAGGAGGAGGCTCTGTGGGAGATTGATGTGAACCTTTTCCTCTCGGAGGAGACTTCCGTCACAGCCAACTACACTCCTCGAACCTGCAGTGGAGATCTAGCGATCAAGGCTGGTGAATGGCTGAAGGGTACAGCTGCTGAGGGTCTCCTGGGCTACATGAACACTCTCTTTGCTGATTCGTCTGCTTCGTGAGTATCATTCTACATTTCGGCTGTGAGATTATATTGACCATGACGCAAATAGATGGAAATCACGAGAAGCCTCCCTGTACATACTCAACTGCTTGCTTCGAGACTTTGGCGAAGTGGACCAAGAGATCTCACCTGAGCTGGCATCCCACTTCACTCAATTCGTGCAATATGCGACCCAACAAGAACAGGAGCTCTTGCGCGCTCGAGGCTACCTTGTGGCTGGCTCTCTGTCCAAGGTCGCCGGTGAGGCATTCCAACAGACCACATCGTCCTATTTGGAGGCTACTTTGAAGGCGATCGCCGAGGACCCCGCCGAGGTGGTCCAAGTGGCCTGCATCCGAGTGCTACAAGATTTGATGCCTGCTTTGCCGACGGGCCTGGCCCGCCCCTTCCAGCCTGCAGTGATTGCGGCCATTTCAGAATTCATCTCCGCACACGACCTTCGTGAACAGACGGACTCTGATGATCTCAAGGTTACGTTAGCGGAAACCCTCCGGGACACTATTATGACCGATTCTAGTGTGGTTCTAACTTCGACTGCCATTGATGTGCTGTTCAACATTGCTAGTAGCGGAGCCGAAAACTTCCAATTGACCTTGACTGTTACAGAGGCATTTGAAGATATTGTGGACCAAATCACCGACAATGGCCCCGATTCTTACATGCGTCTTTGTGAGAAGGTGCTTCCATCGCTGATGGGCGCGATTGATGTGGGCAACCTGACGGAAGAGAATGCTTTGACAAATTTCGCAGCAGATCTTCTTCGCGCTCTGGCCGAGCGGAGTCCCGAGCCAATGCCCGCTGGTTTCGTGGAGACGGTGATGCCCAAGTTGAACCGCCTGCTGCTAGACTCCGATGAGGCCGAATTGATCCGACCCGCAACGGAGGCCGTACGACACATGCTCTCCCACGACTTTGCGCAGTTCATTGTCTGGCGTGATCCTCAGTCTGGAAAGGAGGCACTTGAAGTAGTGTTGGTCATCATTGACCGCCTCCTGGGCCCGGCCGTGGATGATAACGCAGCCACAGAGGTCGGCCAGCTAGCAGCAGAACTGGTTGAACGGGCTGGCTCCGAGCGCCTCGGTCCCTACCTACCGCAGCTCCTGCAAGCCGTGGCGCAGCGACTGGCGACAGCACAGCAAGCGCAATTCATTCAAAGTCTCATCCTCGTCTTCGCGCGACTCACTCTTATCAGCGCACGCGAGGTAGTCGACTTCCTGGCCCAGGTCAACCTGGGCGGCCAGAGCGGACTCGTCGTGGTCCTAAGCAAGTGGCTTGAGAACTCCGTCAACTTCGCCGGCTATGATGAGATCAAACAGAACATCTTCGCCCTGGCACGACTATACGAGCTCGCCGACCCACGTGTTGCCGAAGTGCCCGTCAAAGGTGACCTCGTCATCCAGGATACTGGCCGAATCAAGACTCGCTCCCAGGCGCGCAAAAACCCAGACCAATTCACTACCGTGCCTGCACCACTGAAGATCGTCAAAGTTCTAGTCGAAGAGCTGGGTGCAGCATCCGGAAACAAAGAAATCGACGCCGCCACCGCGGCAGGCCTGGACGAAGCTGACAGTGACGACGGTGACGACGACTGGGAGGATCTCCCTAGCCAGATTCTGGACCTCGGCATCGGAGCCACGAAACAGGGGCTGATGAGCTTCGGCGAGGGTGGCTCCGAAAGTGTCTTCGGTGTGCGTCGCCGAGACGATGAAACGCAGGGCTTCCTGACAGATTTCTTCCGACAGGCCTCCACGCAGCCTGGTTTCCAAGAATTGTATGCGGCACTGACTCCGGATGAGCAAGCTAAGCTACAGAGCCTGTGAATGGAGCTGGGTGAAATCTTACTCAAGGCTGTTGTTGCGAGTACCCTTCCCCGGGGCCCGGGTTATTAATGGTTTGATGCATGGATGTCAATAAAACATACAAGGAATTGTATTTGTCGCTTGTACGACGTAAACGTACCCGTTTTTCTTTTTCCCTTTTTTCCCTTTTCTCTTTCCACCTACCGTACTCCGTACTGTAAATGAGCATTAGCAATCCTTGCAGCAGGGACCCTGGACCGAGTTGGGGTTGCCCATGAATGCCAGTTCTTTGTTTCCATCCCCCTTCCCAGGCCTAAAAGTGACTGCAACGTTCTGTTTCTTTGTTGAATTAACTTTGGGCTAGAGGTCTAGCCGTTTCATGTTTTCAGACTCTGACAATGATAAGTAATTGGAAGTCATAATATAATATATCGTGACTTCCAAGGTTTGCACCCTTAATTTGCGCAATCTACAACCTAGCTCGAAACAAAAGTACATCTGTACCCATAGAAAAGTGAACAAGTCAGGACACCCCTGTTTCTGCAGACCCTCCCGATTTCAGTAGGAACCACCCATGGTTTATGGATCCCTCCCGTGTGGGGGCGTACCAGAGAGCTGGGTCCAAGACCAAGGATCATCCTTGTTTTGACTTTTGCCTCTTTTTGCCTCTTTTTTTTTTTTTTGCTTCTTCTGACGACGTTTTTTCCTTCTCTTTGCGAATATTTCCTTTCATATCTCCCAAATTTCCCAGCGAAGTTAGGCTCTATCTCATCTGGCTTGGGTATACCTACAGTGTCCCTTGGCTTCCTATTCTGTGTCAGTGCTCGCCTTTTACCGCTTCGTGGTTACTGTGTATAACTGAGCACGCCATTACCTCCAGGGCTCCACCTAGGTGGCCCGGAGGGTCCGGGCTCCAGGGATACGACGGTGGATTAGTCAATCAACCTCAAGATGTACCTATAGTTACAGGACAAATATAACTATTGTACTTTACTTCTGGCATGACTCTTGGTGGCAGCTGTAGCTTAAAGATATGAAATAGACCTTGGAAAGAGACGCAATTGGCGGTGCGGATCGGGAGGACCGACCCGTTCGTTTGAAGCCTATTTATCCCATGGATCTCGCAACGCGGGGTAACCTTGGAACGTCCCTGCGTCTTCCAGGGTTTTGCTGGAAAATGTCAGTCCTCGCGTCGCTCCTTTAATTTAAGCAGCCTTCGATAACAATTGCGGGCTATGAGGAACTGCAAGTTACAGGAGTGCACAGAGGCAAGAAGGCCATAACAGGCCTTCCTTAGCGAGGATCTAAGCTTATCTTTAGGACTCTGTATCGACAACGCATATAGTTGTGGTAGCCTATGTATCGCTTAATTGTGAGGGATTGGGGTAAATGGATTCATTCATACATACATACATACATACAGACTATGTGGCAGTCGGTATTCGACAGGCGACTAGTTAATTGCATACGTACCAGACAGTGGAACGGGTATTCGACAACCGCAATAGTAATAGTACAATTTTCAACTTAACGGAGACTAACATCTGCAGCATAAGAAGAAACAGACTTTTATGTGAGTATGGTAGATCCCATGATATTAGGGTAGAAGTAAATGTGGGACAAGTAAAATATAAGGCGTAAACAAGATTAAAGTGAAACCTTGGAACAAAATCAAAAGTAAGCTTAGTTTGTTAGTTATGATTGTAGTTAACTAATTTACTGCTCCTCCCGATGTCGATCAGAACTTACCCTCTTAGTAGTTACCTAGTTGTTAGCCAAAAGTGATGCGCGTATATCCGCGCAACAGGTCATATCCAGTGATCCACACGATATACACGGCCAGTCTAGTAACGGAGTTTTGCAATGGAACGACTTGTACGAAAGGAACATGCTTTGTGCAGCAAGCTTTGAAAATCCACGAGTCTGGCAAAAACACTCAATCCAGGCTTTAGACTCATATACATACTCGGCATCTTGCTGTCCAGTGTCCAGGGAGATCGACGCCAAGATGGGTCGATGATACTCTGAGACTGATACTCGGCGGTCAGTCCTTCCTCTCTCCGCTTTTATGCGTCCGGTAGAGCGTCTTGATTTTCTCCACTGACCCATACTTTGTACAAAAAAGCTTTAGGGCTATAGGTATGTCCTCCCCTTCATAGATAAGTGTAGAGGAACCATCATGATACCAGCATATCATATAAAGTGTCACGCGCGGTATACATATTTTTGAGTAGTCAAGTAAGAATATCATTTTTCAACGATATCCAGATTGTAGACGTAATTCACGCATCAGAAAGTTGTTCAGCAGATCACAGTAGTAGGTTTACCCTTCAACACCTTAGATTGTTCCAAAGTTTATCATTCAAAAGTATCTCTTTGCGCCAAGGCGTCTAGTGCAGGCATAGAAGGTGCCCAGGGGGCTGGCAAACCGCCAGTCAATCAGGATTGAGATACCCGGATTAGCCATGGAAGTTTTGGAAATGCGCTAATCGAAAATCCAAATCCCGGGGCCACCTGAACACAACTGAGTCGACCGATTTGGAATGGGCGACTTTTCCCGTACCAGGCTGTCGGATTTCACACTGCGGGGTCAGACAGAAAAACAAAAGTACGGGAACCGGCCAGGTGGTAGAAAAAAAAAAATAATAAAAAACCATTAAATAGTTAGGTAGTTATAACCTTGGAGGTACGCTAGGGTTCCTCCCGGTATCCTCTCTCTCGGGTTTCTTAGTTTTCTTAGACTCGGAATTGATAGCTTCATTTCACTTCCCCTCTTCTACATTCTCTCTTCAACAAAAAAAAAAAAAAAAAAAAAAAATACACTCCCTCTTCTTTACCCGAACCCTTCCTCTCTTCCTCTTTCTCCTCTCTTTCTTCCTAATATCCCTATCCCCTTATCTTACCATGTCACAGCCCAATCTCAAGGAACGCATCCAGGTCGATGTAAGTAGAGCATTCATTCCCTTTCACTGGACCTCTTTGATCCCCATTCCTACCTACCTCATATCCCTGTATCTGCCAGCACCCAAAAAAACAGTTCATCCTCCCTGACCGATCTCACAACTCCAATTCCCACTCTTCCGAAATTATAATATAATCTCCAATAATCTCCAAAACCCCAACTAACAACTCCCCCCCACCAGACAAGCGACGACGACTCCCTCTTCGAAATCCAAACCCTCTCAGGCTCAAACCTTTCCTTTGCGTCTTCCGTTCGCGACTACAGCTACGAAAATGGCCGTCGCTACCACGCCTACCGCAACGGCCAATACCCCTTCCCAAACGACCAAGAAGAACAAGACCGCCTAGCTCTAACCCACCACCTCTTCAAACTACTCACAGGCGGGGATCTACACCGCGCACCAATCAGAAACTCCAATCCACGCCGCATTCTAGACATCGGCACCGGCCCCGGCGAATGGGCTCTAGAAATGGCCGAAGACTACCCGCACGCCGACATCATCGGCACCGATCTTAGCCCCATCCAGCCGAACTGGGCACCACCTAATTGTCGCTTCTTTATCGATGACGCGGAGAGTGATTGGACTTTCTCGCCCGGCGAAACGTTCGACTATATCCATGCAAGAACTCTAGCCGGTGGGATTGAGGATTGGCCGAAACTGCTTAAGCAGGCTTATCAGCATCTTAAGCCGGGTGGCTGGTTTGAGGCGCAGGAATTTGAGAATCTGGTGTGGTCCGATGATGGGACCCATGAGAACGCGGCTGCTATCAATAGCTGGGCGGAGCTGTTGACTCAGTCTAGTAAGAAGTTTGGGAAACCCATGGATGTTGCACCGAAGATTTCGCGCTGGATGACTGAGCAAGGCTTTGCAAATGTCACCGATGATATTTATAAGGTATGCTATGCTTGTCGTTGTCTTTGCGGTTGTTGTTTACGCATCTTGACTTACACGCTTCCTTTCAGAGTCCTATTGGTGGCTGGGCCAAGAACCGTCGCTACAAAGAAATCGGTCGCATCGGCAAGGTGTCTATCATGGAAACTATAGAGCCGTACTCGTTGGCTCTCTTTACCCGTGTCCTGGGCCTTTCGTACCAGGGTGCACAAGAGCATATGGAGAATGCGCGGGCAGAATTGATGAGCCACTCACACCACCTTTATGTGCGCTTCCACTTTGTCTACGGACAGCGGCCTTTCGACGATTCATCCACTGATTCCGAGGCATCTTGAGGCTTGGGACTGTGGCAACGATGATTATGATAATGATACCCCATGACCTAAAGCTGAGATTGAGAATACTCCTGTCCCTATCAACTTCGCCAGTCTCCGTCGCCATGAAACATGGCTTGACTATATTTCCTCGCATTAATGTATAAAGGCTCCTGTGTGCTAGATTTTTTTGCTTCATTATGTTCATATTCATGTGGGCCTGGTCGATACAGTGAAGCATGAGAGGACGGGAATATACTGTGGCGCAGTGCGGTGATTCTGTCTCAGACGATCTCACCGTCTTTGCCTGCCTGGTATCGACCAGCGATCCGGGCTATATGATCAATATATCCACTGAGCGCGCTTTCCAGAGGTCCAGCTCTGGACCTGTCCCGGACCACTTGATCCCAACGCATTCGGCATATGCACACAACGCCAGGGCTCCGTTTGAGTGTGCGCTCATGCCGTCATCACCGTCCATTCCCAATCCCGAGAACCCGACAAACCCCCGAAACAGCCTCCTCTGGTGAAGGACTTGTCCGCATGACCTGAAGCACCTGAGGTAAACTTTTCTCGTCACAACTGGCAATTGTTTCTAGCAGGATCTCCAGCAGTTCCCGTTTCCCCTCGACCTGCCAGGAGCTTGGCATTGACTTCATGATGGTTCGTGGAGAAGGACGGTCCTGGGAACTGGGGCTGGCATGACGTGAAGTCTCGCTTGCCACGGGGATCGGGTTGGGCATGGAGAAGGGTGCATCTGTATAGATGTTGATGTTTGTGTTGTTGGTGGTGGTGGCGGCGGTGTTGGTAAAGGGGTTGGTAGTTGAATAATGAGACGGGTTTTGGTATGTGTGCGTGTGCGGAAATTGGTACGGACTAGGATTCGGATTCGCATATGCATATGCATCTTGCCCCCACTGATGATGTGCATGAGGCCTGTCATCTTCATTTGGTATTGGATATTCCTCCCCGTAATGTGTTACTGTTGATGTTGGTATGGGTGCGGGATAGCCAGTGTGTTGTAGGTATGGTAGTGCTTTGCCTCCGTCAAGCATATAATCATCGCTATTGGCTCCGTATAGCGGTGGGTGGTGCATCCCTGACATCGCATTCTGCGCGTGCAATCCGTGCACTGGGAGACCCTGCATCGGTACTGGGTTTGTTCCAGACATGTCCCCCAGAGCGAAGGTCATGCCTCCGGTATAATATCCAGACATTGTCGCGTCTTCTAGAGTATCTATCCAAAGTTAGCACGACCGCTAGAAACAAGCGGAGTGGGAATAAAACACACTTCCATAAGCAGGTGATTCAACTTTAGTCAACCCATCCAGCTCCGCAACTTGCGGCGCATACCCCGTCGCGATAGGATAAGCTGAAGCCGAAGCCGACCGCGACGAAGCAGACATTGACCCAGTCCCATTCTCACTCCCCGTACTATTAGGACTCGTAACAGTCATAGAAGTCGTCATGGTCGTGATCGACGAGGATGGCGACGACCCGCGCCAGCTGCCTTCACCAGTATCCGGGGTACCTATAGCCGAGGCAGAGGCAGAACCAGCGCCAGCGCCAGCGCCAGTTGCATTCCCAGAGCCATTGCCATAGCCATGGCTGTCGTAGCCATAGCCCGTGTTCGTAGGCGCATATTGTGTCCAACTCTGGCCGTTCCCCAGGGAAGGCCCGCCCGTTTGACCCGGGCGCGAGCGCTGGCGCTGGCTTTGATTCTGGCGCTCGCTATAGCTTGGCTCTCGTGAACCCTGGTTTAGCCGCCCCCGGAGTTGTGTGACTTCGCGACGTAGTTGGTTGATTATCTCGGATTGACTGATGTGGGCGCGATCTTCGGCCGTTGTTAGGTAGGTGCATTCTGCTTCGACACCGCGGATTATACAGGCGTTACATGGGATAGAGCGGTCGCACTGGTGATTAGAAAGGGATGATTAGTGGCTGGGGAGTAAACTTTTTTTTTTTGGTGTAGAATAATGTGGGAGAGTGTCGAGGCATAGAGCAGTATCCGGGACCGGGTACCTTCACTTTGCGCTCGCGACATCTGAGGCACGACTGTTGCGGGCGTATCTTTGTCTTAGAGTCTGGGGGCATTGCGAGTATACCACTCTGTCGTAGTAATATTGGTACAATAATATTTCAAAGATCAATTCCCCAAAGGGATAATCGGAGAAATCGGAGAAACCGTTGAAGTTGAGGGCGGGGAGGTGGGTTCCACCCAGAAAAGGCCGGATTTCTGCATCCCGGCCGCCGATGCAGGTTCAGCTGTGCCACAACATATCTTTGAGTGAAAAATCTGAGAGATCGTCTTTTAGATCCAATTTTTTCTCACTTCGACTCTGGGTAAAAGCTCTGCAGCACTCCGATTGGGTATAGTTCCAAATTGTTCTCTTGTAAAGATCCGCATGTCTTGCAGATCTTCGATCGAATTTAGGATGCCTTGCGAGGAACTCTTGTGTTGTATGCCGATATATGCTACTTTATCAAAGAGGGCTATATTTCAATGATACCGTCACAATGCTTACCACATTCGCGATTACTGCAGATCCCAGTGCGTTGTAAACGTTGTAAATGCGACCTCGGTGCGGGGAATCCTCGAAAGCGAGCCAGTGAACGAAGTGGACGAGGCTAAGCGAAGGAGTCCTGGATAGCATAAACAGTCCGGGATGTTGTGTAAAATACGCCTCAGCCAGTTAAAAGCCTGCGCCATCAAAGCATATTATATTATCTCGTCCTCCACTCCCCTGTTGCAAAGAGACCAATGAAGTCACTCTTGGTCAGCTGGACAGCCCGGAGCATGGCCTCCCAGAATCCGACGAGTTAGCGCGTCAACCGGCGGATGTGATTGTCTATTCCAGCAATGGTATCGTCTGGGATAGCATTATGTATAACTACGACTTCCATGTGCGTCTAGTACGTTACCAGCATCAACGCCCTCATCGCCATGAACCAGGACCCGTTAGGGCAGCAATCCACTCTCGCTAGTCGTAATGGCACTTTCAACGTCCTGTCCCGCTCTCTGGAAAAGGAGACAGACTCCCAACCGTGTTGAACAGTGGAGCCGACGCGGCCACAACGACAGTCTCCCTCGCGCGCCTCTCGGCCTGTCATCTCAGTCTGGCTGCAAGTATGACGCACGCAGTCTCGTAACCGACGAGCCGCTCGATTCTCATGTTGCCAAGGTTTACCGTATTGGACTAAGACCACCCTACCGGGTTGGTTTTCAATACTCCGTCTGGTCCTTGTATGATTGCTTCTAGTACCCTTCTACTGATTCCGTGATCTTTGAAAGATGTAGTGCCTCGGACTTCCAGGTTTGGCATGTGGCAACAGGTGATGCCACTAAGCTGACTTTGAGTTCTCTGTCGGACGCGTCGGTTGTCTTGCTACTGGGAGTGTGTGATTAAAAGTGTTGAGATCCGAGTGGAGTCCCTCTGGCCAAGTGAGATTTAGACTAGACCATATACAGATTAGCGTTAAACCGATGTTGGAACCATGTGACTTTATGTGGGTCTAGATTTTATGCATAGTTAGCCCTGTGCAGTCTGATGAGAGAGCATCACCTGCTAAAGACCTAAAGGGCAATGTAATGTGAGATATGTTAGCCACACGAGGAGAACTATACAATAAGCTAGAATATTAACAGACACCCGAGCCTTCGTCTAAAGGATTTGATCGAGTAGGAATGGAAGGGCTACGCCCGCAGGTGCAAAGCTTCATCATTTGTACATTCCAAGGATCTGCTCTATACATAAGCTAATCAGACCCATTGTAGATCCATACAACCAGCACCAGTATTCACAATTTCCCCAACAAACTTTGAAAAGTTTACCCCTGCAAAGAAAACCCAACGCCCTCCCCAGTCCCCATCTCGACAAGATTGGCCCTCATCCTCTCAGCCCTTTCCCCAAGACCAAAAGCAGCATCCTCACGATGAACCCAAGCCCCAACCCCATGCTGCAACACCGCAGTAGCCCTAACCTTCTTCTTCTCCTCGGCATCATCACCCCCATTTCCGGAAGCCTTCAACCCAAGACTCCCATGCAAAGTCAATCTCGTCTCAACCCCACCCTCACTCTTCCCCCGATAAACTCCACGATGCAAAATATTACTGTTGTAAAACACCGCATCTCCAGGCTGTAATTGAACAACCAACTGATCCGGCAACTCCGCTGCGTAAGGATCAGCCTCACGCTCGACCTGCGTGCGTGCACGCGCATGCGTCCCGGGCACAACAATTAGTGACGCATCAGGACACAGCGCCAAATTATACTGGCAATGCGACTGACGGCCGCCAGGCGCCTTAGATGCAAGCTGGGCTAGCTCTTCTTCGGCAGTTGCATGCTCGGAGATATCGTCGCGGTGCCAGCGGAGCTCGAAGTCTTTAGTTTCCGGCGCAACGAGTAGATTGAACAGTTCCATGACGAGCGGCTCGGTCTCGCTGCTGGCACCGTTTTCAACGCCCATTAGCTCTTCCGCTACGGCGAGAATGGTGGGGGAGAAGTAGCATCGTGCGAAACTCTCCCGGCCTGGCATTTCGGGGTGCATTAGGTGCTGTACGCCCCATATTCCGCCCTCCGAGGCGGGCGGTGCTGTGGTCGGCCATGGTGGAAATTGTTTTGGAACGGTGCGGAAGTGTGGCCAGCTTCCGCTGCGAGTTAGGGTTGTTGCTGTTGTGGCGATTTCGCGGTAGTGCGATACCTCGGTTGGGGTTAAGAGGTTGCGGACTACTACGAAGCCATCGCGTTTGAGGGCGTCTAGGTTTGGGGTGGACATTTTGGTAGATAAAAGGGGAAAGACTAAGATAATTAGATCTTGAATATCTGGAGATCGGGGAAATATCTAGAGATTTACCTAGGTAAATGTTGAAATTTATATTTGCGGGGGGTTGAAAGAGCCTAAAAACAATACGACGCAATGTCGCATTTAGACTTGGATGTTACCGTGGATCTCCAGATGTGACCTTTGCTTGGTTCTGTTTTATTTACATACATTTATATTATCTATATACAATCTATATACAATCTATATACAATCTATACTATATTAATCTTTCATTCTAATAATAAGTAATCCCAAATCAAATATCACAATTTACAATTTCTTGTTTCAAAAAAAACAGGGACGTCAATGGTGATCACCGGATGCCAAGAACAGCCAAGAGCCAGAGGGCTGAGTCTTCTGCCTCAGTTTGAGATTACACTTGATCTTTTTTCTCCTCAGAACCCTTTTTGCTTGCTTATTTCGTTTCTTGCGTCTTTTTGGAATATTCTATATTATCTCCTTTGCATTTCGAGAAAAAAATACCACAGGGCAAATCTCAACCCCGCCATGCCCCTCCTCCACGCGGGCTCCGCCCTGCTAGTACTGCTCTTGATACTCCCGCAAGTACATGCCTTTGGAGCTGGAAATATCGCCTCTATCTCTGCCGTCGAAGGTAAGAACTGGCGCCATGGTGATATCGAAGATGTCCTCAAGACACTGGCTTTCATCTCCGGCCACAAATGGACCTCTACCATGGTCAAGCGTGTCTATTTTGGTAACTGGTTGCGTGATTAGTGAGTTACCAAAAGAATCGAAAGATCTATTTGTATTCTGACAGCTTCTGTAGCTCACAGGCCATGGACGTTGGAACTCTCAAAAATTTGCAGGCCGATACGATCCGTGTTTTGGTGTGGGTCCTTTCGTTCCTGAGCTTTGGCTACGCTACGGGTGAATTCGAGGTGACTTCGGATCGATTGGGTGTTTACCGTCCAGAGGAACATATCGAGTAAGTTCAGTTCAATTATCTATTATTTAGAAGTTATACTGATTGTCTTCATTCTCGCAGTAACCCCAAGGACTATGCCGACAATGAAGATGCACGCCAATATGACAAGCGGTTGCGCCCACCCGTTCGTGCTGTCGAGCTCGAAATCGACCCGAACACCGGTATGAAGAACTATATCGCCAATGAGCGAGGTGACTGGGCCACCAGCGCTGCCTTTATCAAGTTTAGTCTTAGCCGCAGTATCCACTATGGACGGACTTACACCAATGGCGGACAAAAGAAGGGCAACGAGGAGGACTTGTGTGAAGCACTCCGGTGTCTAGGCCAGGGACTACACACACTGGAGGATTTTGCCGCCCACACCAACTATGTTGAGTTGGTGTTGCGCGAGATGGGTTTTAAGAACGTATTCCCGCACACGGGTACTGCCACTCAGATCAACCTTCATGGGCACCGCGTTTTCCCGCTTGTGACGGGAACGTTTGGTATGGTCGATTTCTTCCATTCTGTGATGGGAGAGGCAAATGATCATTTCACTCAATCCGAGGTCAACGAGATGGATATTGCGCTCGGTGATGCCGAAACGAATGCGCAGTCGAACAACTCCCTGAATGCCTTGACTGGGCTCTTGGGCAAGATCCCTGGTACCAAGGAGCTTGTCAGTGAGGCCGAGGGTCTCAAGAGGTCGTCAGCGGCACAAGAAATGGCCAACCGGAGCCGTAGTGCTCCGACCGGCTCTTCCAATAGCCACGAGCGGTCCCGTGCCGGGCCAAATCAGTCTTCAAGCGGTGGTTCGAAGCCTAGTTCTGGGCTCGACGGCATGCCTGATTTTAACCCCCAGGAGACAGTAGCCAAGATCTATCCCATCCTGGCCTTCAGAGATAAGGTGATGCGAAGCTTGAACTCGATCATTGAAAAGATCCCAGGCTTGGAGTCACTCGTCGAGAAGATCTCTGAGACTTTGACTGTTGTCATCATGTCGCTCCTAGCGCCTTTTATTCGACCTCTGATCAAAGCTGCTTCCAAGTCTATGCAAACCGGATCAGCAGGTGTTATTGATGCCTCTGGCAAGCACCAATACGAACCATGGACCGATCCTCACTGCACCGACCCTACGCACTCGTTGCTCTCCAAGGACCACTTTGCCAATATCCTGAACGAGCCCGCCGGACGGGTCGCCTCTGTAATCGTGGAGTACGTCGCGCCTCGCGTTCTGTACGCCTGGCAACACACCGATGTCTCCGAAGACGAGGTCCTCAATGACTGCATGCAAGTCTTCCACCACCCAGCGCTGCGCAACATGCGCAATGATGCCCATCGTGCAATGTTCGAGACCGTCGAGAAATGGGCCCACGCCCGCTCAGACCGCGGCGCGTCCCTTGACTCCATCCTCAGTTCGGAGGGCGTGAGATCCGGTCGTAACACTGGTGGAGTGAGCCACACTCACAGCGGTGGCCATGGTGGATTCGCGGCGTTGGGTGGTGCCTCACACAGCCAAAAACAAAATCACAACCAAAGCCAAGGCCAAGGCCATGGACACAGTAACAATGGCGGGCATTCATCTGGTGGATTGTCCTCGTTCCTCCCCCAACAAAATCAGCACTCAAACAGCAGCTCCTCTGGCATGCCCTGGGACAAACTCTCCAGCATCCCCGGCTTGTCTAACCTGAGCAAACTCGAAAGCAAAATCTCCAACTTCATCCCTGGCGGCTTGTCACGAGATGTAAATGACCAAGGATCTCAACACCACCAGCACAGCTCATACCAGAGCCACGAGGCGGATGGTAGGCACGAGGCCACTCACCCTCCTCCACAACACCATGGCGGTTATCACCAGACTCAGCACGTAACTCAGCAATTCCACGGCTACCAGTACAATCAGCACTATGAACAGCACTATGGCGGCTCGCAGAATAATTCTTCCTATATACAGCAGGACGACCACTTCGGCCATCCGCAGCCACATGGCGCCCACCATGGCCCGCCACATGGTTCTCATCCGGGTTCGCATGGTCAGGGACATGGACATGGTCGTTCGGGTTTCTGAGGATTGGGTAATGAGACGATGATAAATGATTGGGTTGAATATGTGGAGGTCAAGTGTAGATGAGATGGAATTGAGATGTTATGGTTGTATTCTAATAGAATCGGATGGGTCTTTGTGTCGATTTAGAAGGGGGTGGAGTTTGGAAAGGCTCAGGGAACTTGGGAGGTCGTACTTCCTTTTATAAAAAAAGCTCGTGTGAAACCCATGACGTTGAGTCAACTTGAGCTGTCTTTAGATTTATATGGGCTGTTGAAATTCTTCAGGGTAATCTCTTAGTCTTAGGGCTCAGTTCATTACCAAGGTGGTTCAGTTATTGGGGTTCCCTCCAATCAACAGCTCTGTTTACTTTGTCTCCTTTGTTTCTTGCCCTGAGATTCTGTCTCATCACTGTCTGATTCCTGTTCCATAGTGGTTTTCCCGTTTCAATAAAAGAATAAGGGTTCAGACAGCCACGCCCTAGTAAAAGCCTGGTATAGATAGTATAAAAGGCTCAGACGTGAGTTACACACTCAGAAAATAGATGAAATAGATTATGAAACGAGAGCAAGGGGGAACTGTTGGTTCCTATTAAAGATCTCATGTAAAAATGACTACATACATACCTAAGTATATACATAATCCAAAATGGAAGGGGAGAGATCAGGTAAACTGGAAAGAACCCTTACCAGATCAGACATCCATGCATGGATGCATCGAGCAATAAATAACATCGGAAGGTCTGTGAAAAGGAAAAAACCAGTATTTGCATAGGAACTCATACCATGTCTAGTAGCACTACTGAAAGAAGTCAGGAATATCTTCATGATGATCAACCATATAACCAGGCTTGGTTATAGAAGGTAGACTCGCTTATGAGTCGCAGTATTCCCTTTTTGCCTTTCCGAAATGTTCATATTAGCTGTCTTGTGGGCATTGACTCTTCTAGGACCACCATAACTATCACCCGCTAGATATGTCTGCTAGTTAGTTTCTCTCTGATTAGGTAGTCAATTAGGCAGTCATCTAGAAAGAATCCTTACATTTTCTGCAAGACTTTGTTGGTTATTTTTGGCCCTCGTCGAACAAAGGGCAAAGTTGGCTCTTTAGCAATGACAATACCATCCATTTCTTTTCTATAAATTTAAATTTAAATAGAGAGTTCTTCCAATGTCTTTGATTTCTTTCGATGCCTTTGATTCCTTTGTGTCTAATAAATGCCTACTTTCTCGGGTCTAGTGATGAGCCCTAGACTCTGGCGCTATATAAACCCTTCCCTCTTCCCGCCATGAACAGGAATTAACCGACTTCGTTCTATTCTACACTGCTCTAACTCAACCCAATACCCAACTACACTCAATTACTTGAGCCCCGCAGCCCATATATCATCATGTCATCTAGAGAGTTTCACCGGAGGGCAAGGAGTGGAGCACTCGCCAGCGAACCACTGGAGGCCACTGCCCTACATTGCCATCTCGTCGGCAGAGGCATCAAGGACTGGCCACTGGTTGTTGTTGACGAGCTGGCCAATGGAAATTACCTTATCTGGACCCTATGTGCCCGCCTTGCAGAGTCCGGTCTCGACCCAGAGTGGACACAGAAGTTTAACAGCCAGCACCGCTCCCAGTGGGTTCAGACCCAGGGGATCGTGAAACAGACCGAGCCCGCTAACCGTGCCAAGCTAGATATCCCACTCCCGCCCATGCTGGAGGCTGTGTTCAACTACATCGGTAGGTCCATGACCCCCAGCTCCCTGATCATCAGGTCCACACCTCCTGGCCGTCGCCCCGGCGCCGAGTTTATGCAGCTCTTACTACATGCGTCTAACCCACACCGTTCCTCGGCTGAGATCTTCCTTGTGAAACTCAATGAAACGGATGAGGACGGTCCGTCCCCTCCTGGTGCATTCTCCCGTCGGGCACACCGGCGTAGGGAGGATGAGGACGGTCCGCCCTCTCCTGGTGCATTCTCTCGTCGGGCACACCGGCGTAGGGATTAGCAGGGCTCCATTGTGTGCTATGCCACGTCGACTCCTCCTTACCGCGATATCTCTCCTACTTCTCCTTGTTGGGTCCCCTAGTGATGATGTGTAGCAGTTGTCCTCCTTATCAAAGGGGTTTAAAGCTTATATAAAGCCCATCAGACACTAACAGTTCTTATTAGATGAGATTGGTGGCTTTAACGCCTACTTAGAATATTTTCCTTGTTTTTGTATCTCTGTTATAGGAGTGAATACAGTTGGTTTTTGTCAATTCTCAATTTATCGGATAGTTGTAGCGCCGACCGCGGTGGCGAGATTAAACCTCTTTTCACCGGTTTATATGGAAGTTTCCTCTGTTTAGAACATTGTAATATATTTCTATGTGTATAAAGACGCGCACGGGCTAAGCTGTAGTATAAAGAGCAAATATCTTTATCAAGAGAATATCCCCATGGTTTTTTTTGTTCTAATTCCCAAAAATAATACAGGGCTGTGTAGATTGGTCGCCTGATGCCTAAAATAGGATCCAATAATCGCATGTAGGTTTAGCGGGGCAAGAGTGGAAGGCCTGACTTTGTGGCTCGTATCATTTGAGGCGTAAGACTTTGTTTCAACGACAATAACTTATCATTCGATAATCTGGTCCAAATACTGCCCAAGATGGGTTCCAAAAAGGTTCCAAATTAACTACAATGTAACTCTACGTCAATATTCAGTCATGATCTTGTTTGACGTGTCTGTTTCTCGTATTCATGTCTCAGTTGAACTTTTCCAAGTATGTTTTCCAATATATACAGGGAAGAGTAAGTATAAGAGGATTGTCAACACCACCGATATATAACCCTCTAACAACAGCAAAGAATCCAACAGCAATAATTCCAACAAAGAAACACTCCAGCAAAATGAAGACCATGTCGATTTCCTCTCTCATCCTGGCGACTGCCACCTCCATCCTCGCTGCACCCAGCCCTGTAGTGCCCGTCCTAGGGCCACTGCAACTTACAGATCTCAACGCAGCTATCTACAGCTCGAGCCCGCCAACAACCTGCCTCCTCTCTTTTTCTCTCAAAGACCCAAACACAAGCACAGACACCAAATGCTCTGCTTACTGGTATGTCCTTATCTATCTTCCGACCTTCTCTGTGTTTAGATGGCATAGCTGATACTGACCTTTACACAGGTCAATTGGAATGCCTGGAAACAAGACCTATGACTGCTCCGACAAGGCATACCAGCTCCACCTCCCAAATGGAATCTATGATATTGAAAACTTCGATTTGGGAGTCTCCCGCGCAGACGGCACTGAGAGTGGGCGGTCAGTTGTGAGTGGCGATTTGTGGAAATGCGAGAAGCAGGAGTATCCCAAAGCACAGTGCAAGTGGGATGGTATTTTCCATCTCGATGTGGCTCCGTCTACTTGATTAGGGGGTTGTCGGTATGTAAGGAGAGAAGGGAGTAGGATTATGCTAAGGCTGGACGGAATGTGTAGATATGTGGGCATGCTATTTTGCTTCCTTAGCTTTGGTTTAATTTTGTCTAATTGGTATCTATCTCGTGCCTTGTTGCTTTTAAATTAAATACAGTTCGAATTATTCTTATTCCTACCTGAGAAACTAATATAGTTAGCTGATATAAAATCTAGTTCTAGTAACAGCTCGAGCGATTTGGGGTATCCACAAGAGCTCTAACGCAAAAGGAACAAATGAAAGGGTGTATTTCAAGAAAGCTCAACACTGCAGCTTTATTCCGTACATTAATATTGTTGAAGGGGATTTCTTGTTGGAAGGCCAAGTCCATCGGAGCTCCAACGCCAAAATGCCCGCTGACTCATCTTACCCATTTGTTGATCTCAGTGGTTGGAAGCAAGTGGATTCAGCGGCGATTTGCCCCCGAGGCCGCATATCGATAAGGCTTGTCGACACCTGGAAGGAGTATTACGATATTACTTTATGGACAAGACTACTGGCCCACGGAGCGCAAAAGGGCGAAGCGCTTGTGATCTATGTCGACACCGAAAGGTAATATTCACACCTACCTGTGGTGGCAGCCCCTAATCTGATTTTGACGACAGATCCGCTGTGATAAAAACCAACCAGCCTGCGAGAATTGTCATATTGCAGGACTACCATGTACTTTCTCCCAACCTGCATCCCAACATCGGAAAAGTACCCGACAGTAAGACTGCTATATCATTGGGCCCCTCTTCAATCGCTTACGGGGTACACAGAGAGCTTGCCGACACCAAAGCTCGGGTTCGGGAATTAGAGGCGACCCTGCTCGGATTTAAAGAATCCACAAAAGAAAGCCACACAAGGCTAGCAATCCCTTCTCCGAGCAGAAGCTCTTCTCCAGCGTCGCCCAGGCCCCTCTCTCAACCATTTTTATCTTATTTGCCCGATACTCGGGATTTTGATACCGCGTTGGCAGCTTTCCAATGGCATATCTCATATTGTGGGCTCGGGAGTGCTCTCTCGACCCAAAGGGCAGCTTTTTACTCTCTCGTTCAAGAGCAAACAGGCTGTACATTCAATATGGATGAATTTGCTCATGAGGTCTCCCAATCTTTCAGCTCCCAACAGCTCAAGTCGGCAAAGAAAGTGATTGGGATCAAATGGCCAGAATCTGCTCTAGTCCAACGGTGTTTGGAACATTTTGATAGAAATGGTCTCTATTCTATATTTCCAATTGTCGATGCTGAGGCCGTGCAGATTCTACTCAATGCAAATGTTTTAGATCAGCCCCCAAACCTGACTCGTGCCGCGAATCGGGCTTGTCTGGTTGCTTTTGCGGCAATGATCACCCATATCCACCGCCATGAGCCAGCTTTCGCCGGCGCTGATCCTGATGCTTACTTGCAAGCAGCGCTAACACTGCTTCCTGAAATGTTATTAGAGCCCCCTGATATAAGAACTTTGGAAGCGGTGACAATATTAGTAAGTCCTTCGCATGTCTAGTGGACCCCCCCGCGGAAGGTGGATCCCATGTCTCCCGTGTCGTAGAAGCTTATATGTGGCCATAGATGCTCTATATCGCCCCTCTTGGTAGACCCCAGGCAGCCGAACTACTTCTTGGCATCGCAGTGCAGCTCATCTATAACCTCGGGGCAAACAGAATACAAAACCCCAATGAGATACATAGGACAGATCAGCGTAGCCAACATCTCCGAGCTTTGTTCTGGCATTGTTATGCCGTCGACAAAGAATTCTCCACCCGAAAATCCCAGCCACCCTTGATAAACGACGCCGATTGTGATCTAGATCTACCTACGACGTACGCCAAGGAAACCTCAGAGCGTCACTTTTACATGAAGCCCTTGTCGTCCAAGGAGCTTCTTTTCCCCTCGGACCTCCGCTTTTCTGTGCTCAAGTCCAAGATCTTCCGGTTACTTTATTCGGTGGACAGTCAGGCACTGCCCGAAGCTAGACGCCTTCAGCATATCCGTGAACTAGACCAAGAACTAAGCGATTTGAAGCTGGGGTATCCCGCCGACTGCCGGCCGGAGGTGTTCGCCACCGAGGGCGCACCGGACTATCTGTTCCATGATCTCAGTATGCGCGGTGTGAATATTCATTTAGAATATTACTACTGCCTTGGAAAGATACACGGAGCGAGCAATTCTTGCAAGATAGTCTCTCCGCAGAACTGGTCGCCTCTCCCATCTAGCGCAGAGCTGTGCTTTGAAGCCGCAAGGTGTTCGCTGATCTACATTTGGCGAGTCCGCCAATTCGTCAACCAACATACCTTCTGGTAAGGGACTCTGACCCTTTCCCTACGTATGTATCCTAATTCGAGCTTCTTTCGTGTTCTAGGCTTCATGCGCAGTTTCTCCTCACGGCCGTTTTTTCGGTCTTCTGGTATCTCATCACGGTTCCAACTTCATCTACTTTCACAAGAGATCTCAAGACTTTGGAGGATATCGCTAAGCTCTTGGCTCAGCTCGGCAAAGCGACGGAGGATGGGCAGACTTACCCGCCATTCTATCTGGCCCAGGCTTTTGTTGAGAGGTTAGTCTCGCTGGCGCGGCATTCGCGGCCTAGTATGGAGGGCACATAATACGCTTGCTCGATACTCTAGGTCATTTTCCTCTTTAAGGTGGTCCTTTTTGTATATATAACAATCCTAGTACACTCTGTGACTCGGGCCTGGTCTTTGGATTGGTATTGGTATTGTGTATTATGTGGTACTATTATATATTTATAGATATGAAGTGTTTGTATACTTCGGATGTTTGCTTTTTATCCGATCCGATTTTCCACCAATCCCCGTCGTTAAAGTATACATCTTCTTCCCCTCTTCTCCTTGCATCTTTCCATTCTCCTTTCCCCTCTATTCGCCTTTCTCTTTCTCCTTTCTTCTTTCTTCTTCTTCTTCTCCCCTTCATCTACAACTACAACTCTTTGCCCCTGAACAGGCAACTTCCTATCAACAAACACTAGCTAAATACCGGAGGCTAAGAAGGTAGAAGACGACAGAAAAATATTTCGACTTTCTTACAATACCTTCTCACGACAACCACTGCCAGGTGCTTTGAACCACGACTTACCTTGACCTTGACCCCAACGCCGGGGAACTATAACATCCAGCGATCTGCTTTATTATGCACTGGTTCGTTCTTTTCTTCAACAGCCCAGCCGGGCTAGCTCAATCGGTAGAGCGTAAGACTCTTAATCTTAAGGCTGCGGGTTCGACCCCCGCGTTCGGCTATTCCTAAAAACCAAGAAGATTTCTTTTTTTGCTTTTTTTCTCTTTGGTGTTGTTGAATGATGAAAGAAATATAGAGAATTCAATTGACTTTTATTTAAGCTTTACTGTGTGTGTCCATTGGTGTAAAGTGTAAATAAGGTGTCTGCTACGATCAATCGGTGCTAAGTCGCCTTAGCACATTTCCTTTTTTGGGGTTTACTAGTATATATCTAGTGAGAAGGAGATATATATAATATATATTTGGATCTGATGGATCTAATGAGCTGGTTTTTGAATCCCGCATATTGAAAAAAAAAAAAAAGTATACTGTTTATTGGTGGAACAGGCCGTTTATCTCCGTTAAACTATATACAACACGGCCTACACCAAGACAACTCAATCATCAGTCATATCATAAGCTACGAGATACACATGAAAACCCAAACCCCATCGCATCAGACAGGGAAACACAGTGCCCCAAATTATACCTAAACACAATTTCACAGCTTCGTCCCCTCGCGTCCACTGTCACTGGGACGCCTAGGCCGAAGAGGCCCCAGGGACTGACCGGCAGCATGGCTCGGCCCAGCCGCTGGTGATGCCACCTGTGTCCGCGCTCCGTCGCGGTCTGCAGTGTTGGTGCGAACAGCTCCCCTTTGCGTCCCCTGGTGAAGGCGAGGATCCATGAGCCACTGGACTTGCATGCGGACACTGTTGACTGCCGCATTCGTGTGGGCCATGTCTTCCTTGATGCGCAGGCATTCATTCATGATAGCCATACTGGCGCGAGCATCTAGGTCTGTGATAGCATGTGAGAGTTGGTTGACCTCTTCCCGAAGAGATTCGTGTAGTGAGAGTAGATAGGTCGTGGCATTGGAAGAGAATACACTCGCAGCAATGTCCGCAGGATCATCTGTGTGGACGTCGACGCGAGTGGAGGATTGCTGTTCTCGGTCAGATTGGGTAGATTGGCCACCGCTGTGACTGTTTGCACCCAAGCGCGTGGATTCGACGAGAGTGGACCGAATATTTGCCAGCCCATCCTCGAATATCTCATTGCGTTGCTGTAGATGTCGCATACTTGATTCAAGGGAATTGAGTCGGGTATTCTGCTTCTCAAAGTATGGGCCCATTGTAACTATTGGGCAGCTTTGTTCATGTGCTGCAATGTCTGCCCGTCGGATCTTAACCGGGCATGCGTACTTGGATGCTGTACAGGGAACTGCAACCTCCGGACACGATTCAACGTGCTCTCTCAGTGCTCCTCTGGTGACAACCGTTTCACAGTCGACACATGAGACCTCAAGAACTGGACAAAGTTCTTTCTCATGCTCCTACAGGCGTCTTCAGTTAGCGTCTATAGAATTCCTAATAAGTTTTTGAAAGGGAAACAAACCTCGTATTCGTGCTCCAGAACATCTTCTTCGCAATAATAGCACCGTCGCACTCTATGAATACACTTCTGATCCATCCCAACGTCCTTGCTTCGCGTCATCTGATCGCATGATTCATCTGGGCACGGCAATAGCCGGTACCCACAGTACTTCTCGACATGTGACTGGACATGGCCCCGGGGTATAATCTCTTGACAGCCCTCTGTGATCAATGGACACCTCACTCGGATCTCGTCGCACATGTTGATCAGCAGGCGGGGCACACTAGTCGACACTTTCTGGGTGGGATTTCGGCAGGAGGGACACGGAAACTCGTCCGAGTCGGCCGAGCGGAAGCTGGTGATGGCCGAACTGAGGCAACTCCCACAGAAGACATGGTCGCATTGTAGACGAACGGGTTCAACGAAGGGACAGTGACATATCGGGCACATCAGGTGCGAGTCGTACTCGGAGACGAGATCAAGGCTGCGGAGGTCGATTAGCTCGTCGTGGTCGCGGCTTTCCTCCATAGCTAGAAAGTCTTGTAGGTTCATGTTGTGCGGACTTCGAGCCTATCACGAGGCGAGAGAAAAAAATATACAAGGTACCAACGGACTTCTATTCCCTATGCTGTTGCTTCCTTGGAATGCGGAATCAGTGCGCGGGTTCATGCAGCTCTCTTTGCGCTAGATACCGAGATGGACCAAATAGTCCAGGTCCATGAGGATAACAATCAGAAAACAATCAGTTGAGCGATCGGAAGCAAATGCTTGCAAGACATAGGCATGTTAATATTTCCGAGCTGAAGAGAAGGCGGGATGACTGCGGGGGATCAAGGGGAGGCAAAAGGCGGAAAGCGGTTGATCCGCACTGTTGCCTCCGCTTGTGATTCTCGTCTTACATCTCCACCTTCAACCTCGTAAACGTCTCAAACAGTCTGACTTTATCTTTCTTGGCTGATCGGAGGTCTTTCTCCGTATTGACCGTCCAAACGCCTTTGATTTATACATCTCAACAGCCTGACATTTTCATCTCACACATCTCATTATGACGAACCCTTCCCAGCTATTCCTACTCGCCGATCACATCAAATTATCCCTTTTGGAGCGCGAAAGGGCAATCTCACTCGATCTCGAGCCCAATTCCCAAGATGGAGAGATCTCTTGGTCCCTCGAGTCTCTCCGAGAGAGCATAGAGGCCCTGGAAGCTGAGCAAACCCGGCTAGCCAACTCGCACGACAGCGCAGGCGCCGCCGCCCTGAAAGACCAACTCACCCCCCTCCAAGCCCAATACAAAGATCTGTCGACTCAGTTCTACGGCGCAGATGGCGAGCCATCGGCCAACAACACGACGCAGGCGTCGAAATCCGCCACCCCCGATATTAAGCAGCCAATTCCACAACATCCTCCTTCCAAATCCGTCCGCTTTATGGACAGCTCCGCCGCAGCGGCAGCCGTGCAAGATGAAATCGACGAGGAAGACGAGCGCAATCGCAGCAACCTCTTCCGTCCATACCGTGATGAGCCATCGCCGCGACCGGATCAGTCAAACATGGACAATCAGCAGGTCTATGACCACCACGCTCAAACTATGCGCGACCAGGATGACCAGCTGGACCGGCTGGGTGAATCAATTGGCAGACAACACCAGCTGAGTATTCAGATTGGGGATGAGCTGGATGGCCACGTTCAACTTCTAGATGGAATGGATGGAGACGTCGAGCGTCATCAGACCCGGCTAGACGGCGCGAGACGGCGGATAGATAGAATCCGCCGAAAGGCGGGCGAGAACTGGAGCATGATGACTATCATTGGATTGATCATTATTCTGGTCATCTTGATCGTGATCCTGAAATGATACCCCCGACGGGTGGATGATTGGAGGCTCTTGTTTTGTCGCTATTACCTCTTTTTTTTTTTTCTCTTCTCCTTGTTTTGGTGAGCGGGCGTTTACAACTTTGCGCAGTACGGGACGATTGATTCTCCTGATGTTTTTAACAGTGACTCGAGGCGTTGAGACAATTGGGTCGCTCCTAGACTCCTGGTTGGAGATTCTTGATCATACTACATCTACAAGCCTAGCCTTTATCATAACCTTCTTTTCATATCCAAATATGTGCTCAGGCAAATTGTGTAGTATCAATTGCCATTGACTTAATGCGATACAACTTGAATACATCACCATGAAAGACACCCTAACAGCCTCAACCAGCAGACTGACCCAATAAAATACACATGAGGAACAAACCCAAACCGTGGTTGAAAAGTTACAAAATGCCAATATCTTCGACTTATTGCTTATTAGCCTTCTCGGTCGCAAGACGTTTTGTCTTCTCCTGCATCTCCTGGAAAGTGACATCACCGTCTAACTCGCCTCGATCCGCTTTGACCTAAATCAAAACATATTAGCTCCAATGAAAGATAAATCCCGGGGGTTAATGCTTGGGTTAATGCTTACGTCGGCCTCACTGTTACTAGCCAGCTCGGATTTCCACTTTCCCTTGCCCTCCTTGGTGCTTTTGATGCCTTCTTCCTTGTGGGATTCATAGTGGTAGGAGAGGTTCTCACGGCCTGCGTACGGTTAGTTAGTATGGTTTGGTGGGAAGTTTGATGATGTACTAACTCCTATCATCCTCGTTCAAGCTTCGGACAGCTGAGGAGTGGAATGTGGAAGCTGGCACGGCAAAGTTGGTTCGGATAGCTTGGCGGGAGGAGGCACGGATGGATGTGAGGAATGACATGATGGGGATGATATAGTATATAGTGTAACGACTTTGGTAGACAGTTTACAACAATAGATTTGGGAGATGAGGAGAGAAGTATTTGAAATCAACCGGACATGGGGGATCTTTAAGACAGAACATCTGCCCTGCCAGCTCCTGATGCTTCATGACATCATCGGAGTGGTGGGTCTACATCACATGGCTTATGTACATACAAATGGAGTATACAGGTATATTATTATATTATACTTGGATTTAGATATTACAAATGAAGTATACAGGTATATTATACTTGGATTTAGAGGATAAGTTCAAGAATATTCTATCCTACTCATGGTGTGGACTGTTTTAGATCTTACATGTGGAGAATCAACTTCGATAGGTCTAGACAAACTAACTTAGTATAACAGTATATCATTCTAATGAGACGAGATGGATAAAAATCTACACAAAGCCAACAGAGTCGATTTGTATGCCCGATGAGCGCGATCGAACAGACCGGGAGGTTGTTTGAATGGATGTATAAGCTTCCTAAAGACTCCACTAAAAGACTCCACTGCCTACATGTAAGATTTGTTTTCAATATCAAATCGTACCTGCAAGATACTCTGCCTCCAGACCACAACTTTGGTAATACGATGTGTACCTCTGGGATATGCCGACAAAACAATAGCAGCCGCACCTTTCCCAAGCTCTGTACCCAGAATGGCCTTATATCCGGGAGTATCGAAATTCCAGGACACCTGATCGCTCGCTGCTGGAGACGTGTCAAACAGTCCGGAGTTAGGGGGCTGAGTGTCAGCCCAAATTGTTCGTACACAGTCGACGGTATCGTCGTTGACAACATTTTCGAGGTAGATGTGTCTCAGGATATTCCGGGCGAAGTGAATATCGTACTGTGCAAGGGCGATTTGACTCCACCAAGGTCCATCGTGTCTATAAGCATTTCTCAGTACAATAACTCCCATTGCAGTCGTGATTTGATACAAGTTAGTTCCCATTCCTCTTTTTGGGTGCGGAATGACACTGTCCTTTGTGATCTTGACATCGTGGTAACTTTGTTCACCTACAGGGAGCCCACAAGCCGCGAGGTCATATGAGAGAAAGTGAGGTCCTTCAATCCAGCGGTTGAAATTAGTTGTCCATCTTTGAGATCGGTGTTTAGCATGGGTCAAGTTTCTAAATTCAAAGTTTGGTAGCTGTACTGTGCAGTTGGGCTCGGTTGCATCATCGATCCATCTTTGTCGCAAGTGTCCCCACATCTCACGCTCGCCGTATTGATAATCGTTTGGGTTAGCGGATGGGGAGGAACCAGGCTGAGAGGATGGGAAAAAGGTATCTGCGGAGACGGGGACGGGTACGATTGATGGAGGAGGGGGGATACATATTGGAGTTCGATAGGATCATCGCCGCCAGGGGGGCCAGAACTGGGGGTTACGCGGCGGCGACGGCAGATACCGAAACAATTCCAGGGACAGCAACCAGACATATCTGTGAATATGTTAAATGTTAGATTTGATCGAAGTATATAAAAATAAAGTATTGGATGTTGAATGTTGAGTGATGAATGATGGATGATGAACTTGTACTTCTCTGTATAATACCGAGAGAGGTCGAGGATTATATAGATGAGAGTCAAATAGGTGGCGCATACTCGACCGTGAGTATCGCTTTCAAGTACATACAAAGGGGATAAAAAAAGAACATAGTGCACAAAGGGTCGAAAGGGTCGACACACAAGACAGACAGTTACAATGGGAGCTGAGATCACGATCCCTAAATAGACACTAACAAGTAAACAAAGAAGTCGAAGTCGAAGATACCGAGAACAACGAGCATAGTGTGATGAGAATAGCCATTATAAGACCATTTTCGACAAAGAGAGCATTGTAGCCCAACACAACAGCATAGACAATGAAGTCGACTGCTAGAATACCGGATGTCATGGCTCAGAAGCCAACTAGTGTGGAAGTTGGAGATTGGCACATTTTAGACTAAAGAATGTCAAGGTTATAGTCCGGTGTATACCCTATTCCAACTAGTTCCGGATCTAGGACATTGCCGCTGCGACGTTGACTTGGCATCCCAAGCTAATGATGTCTGCCATTGGTGCTTACAATGTTGTATATTGGTTATTGTACTGGGCCTTGGGTGTCATCATTTGAGCTATCGTCAGTCTTGAACCAAACACTGAGCCTTCATATTGAAAGACATATAATTGTAGGATACCCTAGGCAGAGACAGAGCCTAGAGAGCAATGTCAGGCTGTATGTATTATGGTACATTTCTAGTAAAGCGTTATTACCCTGGCCATAGTCGCGGCTCCCCCGAAAAATAGTTGTAAATGCTCGAAACACCTAATACCTCCTGCAGAAGCAACTCTGCGTCATCACACACAACCTGGATATTGGTCTCGGTCTATTCTAAGGCAATGTTCTGCACGGAATCACCTGCAGGGGATCTGGTAACGGCAGCTAACTTAGAGCCAATTGCCGTATAATACGTATTAGGGGCAGGAAAAAGAAACGGCCCGAAGACCGCGGATTGTGTATCTTCGGCAAGCTCACTTGTAAGATAGCTGCGTCGTTGAAGAATGACCGAGAAGCATTTATACACAGTGTAGCTCACCTGGTGGGAAAGGCCTTGGCCTCCTATTTAAGCCAAGTCTTAGTTTACTATGTTGTATACCTAGGTAACGAATTGCGAGGACGTGAGACATTCTACCCCTGAACTACCAGGTTTGACGCCAATGTGTAGTATTTCTGCAGGACCATTTCTCCGAGACTTCCCCAATATATACAACAATCTAAGAGGAAAGGGGAAATGATACTGCCAATCATTGTCAATCAACTACACATGTGCAGTAGCGCATATTGTGCCGTTTATTCTTGGCGTAAGACTGCGGATCGCATCTAAAAGATTGTAGATCACTACCTATGTTGTAGGTAGAATAATTTATATGATTTGGTTGGATTTATGCCATGGAGTTATTAAGTCCTATATAATACTTCCCAAATCACCTTGAAGACACTCGCCTACAACCCACTCCATTAATTGCTTTGAGATATATCATACCTCAAACAGCCGAGGTAACCTCTTTTCCAAATGAAGACCATTTTATTAAGCGTTCTCCTGCCGGCATTAGCCAATGCAGCGGAAACAAGTGGTAAATTTACGGCGCTGAGCTTCAACGTCGCAGGTCTCCCAGAACTTCTTCAATCAAATGATGTTAATGGCACAAAACCCGAGAATGCCAAGCAGCTCGGCACCTACTTCTCGGAGTATGGCTACGATATCATCAATATGCAGGAGGTACTGTTCCATCCAGTCCTAATCTATCAATTGATCTGACCACGATCTAGGATTTCAACTACCATGCCAGTATCTATGAAACAGATAACCACGCATACCGCACCGCTACATCCGGCGGCGCAGCCATCGGAAGTGGTCTGAACACCATTTCCACTCACGACTGGGTTGATTTCACGCGCGTGAAATGGAACAAATGCTCCGATGCATCCGGCTCAGACTGTTTGACCCCGAAGGGCCTGACGTTCATGCGCTGGAACCCGGCCGATGGGGTCTATGTTGACTTCTACAACGTCCATGCCGATGCTGGGTGAGTAAAAGCCATTTTGACATTGACATTGTATAATCGATCCAAGAACTAACTCCCGCCAAGCACCGAGGCTGATGACGAAACTGCCCGAAACTCCAACTTGCAGCAAGTCGCAGATTACATCGACGCCTGGTCGACTGGTAACGCCGTCGTAGTCATGGGCGATACGAACAGTCGATACACGCGCGCCGAGGACACGGCAATTCGCGTCTTCAAGTCGCAGAATAGCCTCGCAGACCCTTGGGTCGAGCTTGAGAAAGATGGCGTCTACCCTACAGCTGGGGCGGATGCCTTGCTATGTGATAACCCGTCTTCTACTCAGACCTGCGAAACGGTTGATAAAGTGCTGTACCGGGGGTCTGACGTTGTGACCCTCAAGGCAGAAAGCTTCGTCTATAATGGCGGAAAATTCACAAACACTGACCCCAAGTATCTCGGAGCTGTTCTCTCCGATCACAATCCGATTCTTGTGAACTTCACCTGGTCGCTATCGTCGTCGCTGCGACAAAGTCAGTTCTCCGGTGGGCCTCATGGAACTTGGTTTAATGATCTGCCGAAGATTCCTTCATCACCTGCTGCTTCTGTGATCACCTTCTCTGGTGAGAACAGGCTGGATTCTGTTGCTTTGGAGTTGAAGGATGGCACATCGTTTAGCCACGGAGGAACTGGTGGCACTGAGGTCTCCCTTACCCTGGGCGCTGGGGAGTATTGGACCGAGACCAAGCTCTGTACTGGACAGTATAATAGCCACACTCGCAACTTCTACATCAAGGCTACTACCAGTACTGGTAAAACCTTGGAGGCGGGTACCTCAACTGATGATTGTCAGACCTTTACTGCCCCCGATGGCTTTGCGGTTGTGGGTTTCATGGGACAAGCCGATGACGAGGTCGATCAATTGGCTTTGGTATATGCGGCCTATTAAGGACCAAGGAGAGTGAACACTTGAGAGATGTGAATCCGAATTTATGGTGAATATGCATGTGTTCATTTGCCATTTTGGCCAATCGTATCAAGTCATAGTTCATGCTATGTATGTCCCAAACGCCGAGGTATTTCGCAGAAATCCATATGCACCGCGCTGTGTAAATAAGCCAAAAAGAAAGCACTTTAATCAATCACATCCTCTGGGAGAACATCATCCGGATTCTCCCCAACCGCTTGTCCTACCATGCGCACGACGCGCTTGATTGCCTTGGATGCGGGACTATCCGGGAAGTTATCCACAAAGCTCTCGCCAAAGTCGCACGCCATGCCAACGCGCGGATCCAGAGGGACAGCACCTAGGAAAGGAATGCCCATTTTCTTCGCCAGCCGGCGACCGCCGCCGGTTGTCGCTCGGAATATTTGCGATTCGTGGGTGCAGTTAGGGCAGACAAATCCAGACATGTTCTCTACCAAGCCCAATACCTTAATGCCGGCCTTGCGGCAGAAGTCGACCTCCTTGCGAACATCCAGCAATGAGACCTCCTGCGGGGTAGTCACGACCACGGCACCGTCAACGCCAGACTCCTTCAGTAAAGAGTTGACAGACAGATGCTCGTCGGAGGTACCGGGAGGTGTATCGACAATCAGGTAATCCAGCTCGCCCCAGTCCACGTCCTTGAGGAATTGCTTGATCAGTCCGTTCTTTTTGGGCCCGCGCCAGATCACCGCATCGTCCCGGTTGGGTAACATGAACTGCACGCTCATCGCTCCCAGGTTATCTGTAACCCAGACGGGACTCCAGCCGGCGTTGCTAATGTGAATAGTCTCCGACTCCACGCCCATCATCTTGGGGATCGACGGCCCGCAGATATCGGTGTCCATGATACCGACGGTAGAGTCTGGGTTGGAGGCGAAGCCATGCGCGAGGAGGGTTGAGAACGTAGATTTGCCGACTCCTCCCTTTCCAGAGAGGACCAGGATCTTGTGTCGTATCTGGGAGAGTCGTTCGGTGATGATTGAGATGTCGGGGTCGGGGCCTTTGGGCGCGGTGGCGCAGATCTGTTGGTTTGGGCAACCGGCACAGGCATCGCCTTGTCCAGCTTTCTCGGATTCAGGGCCTGGACAGTGTTCTGCGTGGGGTTAGTGTGTGGATTGTGTCAATGATTCCGCGCATGCGTACCTGGTTCGGGAGCGACAAGATTGGGAGGTGCCTTGGACGACACTGCTAGAGACGCCTCGGCGAACTCCTCCACGTAGGGCGCCATTTTAGATTGATGCTCTGTGTGGCAAGGTAGGTGAGAGCAAGCGACGGAAAATAAGAGGATAAATGCTACGCAGTCGCAAGAGAGAGAAATTCAACGCCCGGTGGCGGATTGATGCTTGATAAGCGGGGATGACTAAAAACCCGCTGCGATTGGCGGGGCAAGGCACATCTGCGGTGTCGGAGCCCTTGGAGTATGAAAGTCGTGAGTGAAAATATTTACTTTGATATGGTCAATATCCTAGCTGAAGCTATGAAATACTGGAGAGTACTGGGTATATCATACAATAAAGAGATAAATTAATTAGAGAATAAAGCATGGCTGGAGAACCAGACCTCTTAACAAACCACTATAACTATAACTAACTATATAACTATCTCTTATTTGCCAAGCCAGTCAGATCTTCTTATTTTAGTGTATTTGCAGTTGCAGTATACTGACTGGCATCGGCGAGGCAGTTAGGATCATGGCCGAGTGAGTGTTGGTTGAAGCTTCGAAGTGCTCCCGCAGCACCATACTACATGCATGGTCAGCGGAGAGGAACGGTATGGGATACGTGACTTGTTGCTTGATCGGGCTCGGATCACTTCTTACAACGGGAGAAGGTCGGTACATATTTGCGGACCTAGTCGTGCTGGAAAGGAACTTATAGATCCAACCCCCGAAGAACTAGACCTGTCACGAATTTATACGCCTATCCAGGTCGAGGCGGGTTAAACTACATTTTGGGTATGCAACTCCTACCCATGAAGACTACTCAACCAATCACCCCACGGGGGTAAAATAATCCCGGGCCCTGTCAGCACTTAACAGGGGACCAGAGTCTTGATCTAGCGCCTCCACTGCAGTAGGATAGACGTGGCCCAGTGAAACAGACTGAAAGGCCGCCGACATGCTGTGAGGACAAGAAGCGGGGTTACTGGGCTGCAGCTTAGATTGGATCACCTCTCGTATATACATATGTGGGTACGGAGTAGTAAATCCCACCCAGTGAGGTCGACGGTTCACTATTATGAGTATCCATTATCAATCTTTCAACGCATTGATATCAACGGCGCCTGTCGTAATAAGGAGTTTCAGTTGTGGCCCTGATCAACCAGGGAGTTGGATTGGATGATGCCAAGTACCACTCCACTGG